GGAGTCACGGTACTGCATTTGATATATTGACTCACTCATTCACTTTGGGGGACCCGGGATCAGCAATGGTGCGAATACATGTAAATTGTTACAGTGCACTTAACTGCATTCTCCGCGAATAGCTGCAAAACTGCTGATACGGCGGTGAACGCTATACACTCACTGACTTCACTGTAAACACTATACACTCACTGACTTTATTGTAAACACTATACACTCACTGACTTCATTGTAAACACTATACACTCACTGACTTCATTGTAAACACTATACACTCACTGACTTCATTGTAAAGACTATACACTCACTGACTTCATTGTAAATACTATACACTCACTGACTTCATTGTAAACACTATACACTCACTGACTTTACTTTGTGTAAACACTATACACTCACTGACTTTATTGTAAACACTATACACTCACTGACTTCATTGTAAACACTATACACTCACTGACTTCATTGTAAACACTATACACTCACTGACTTTATTGTAAACACTATACACTCACTGACTTTATTGTAAACACTATACACTCACTGACTTCATTGTAAACACTATACACTCACTGACTTCATTGTAAACACTATACACTCACTGACTTCATTGTAAACACTATACACTCACTGACTTCATTGTAAACACTATACACTATCTGACTTCATTGTAAACACTATACACTCACTGACTTCATTGTAAACACTATACACTCACTGACTTTATTGTAAACACTATACACTCACTGACTTCATTGTAAATACTATACACCCACTGACTTCATTGTAAACACTATACACTCACTGACTTTATTGTAAACACTATACACTCACTGACTTTATTGTAAACACTATACACTCACTGACTTCATTGTAAATACTATACACTCACTGACTTCATTGTAAACACTATACACTCACTGACTTTATTGTAAACACTATACACTCACTGACTTCATTGTAAACACTATACACTCACTGACTTCATTGTAAACACTATACACTCACTGACTTTATTGTAGACACTATACACTCACTGACTTTATTGTAAACACTATACACTCACTGACTTTATTGTAAACACTATACACTCACTGACTTTATTGTAAACACTATACACTCACTGACTTCATTGTAAACACTATACACTCACTGACTTCATTGTAAACACTATACACTCACTGACTTTATTGTAAACACTATACACTATCTGACTTCATTGTAAATACTATACACTCACTGACTTTATTGTAAATATGTTACACTCGCTGACTTCATTGTAAACACTATACGCTCACTGACTTTATTGTAAATACTATACACTATCTGACTTCATTGTAAATACTATACACTCACTGACTTTATTGTAAATATGTTACACTCGCTGACTTCATTGTAAACACTATACACTCACTGACTTTATTGTAAATATGTTACACTCGCTGACTTTATTGTAAACACTATACACTCACTGACTTTATTGTAAATATGTTACACTCGCTGACTTCATTGTAAATACTATACACTCACTGACTTTATTGTAAATATGTTACACTCGCTGACTTCATTGTAAACACTATACGCTCACTGACTTTATTGTAAATACTATACACTCACTGACTTCATTGTAAATACTATACACTCACTGACTTCATTGTAAACACTATACACTCACTGACTTTATTGTAAATATGTTACACTCGCTGACTTCATTGTAAACACTATACGCTCACTGACTTTATTGTAAATACTATACACTCACTGACTTCATTGTAAACACTATACACTCACTGACTTCATTGTAAACACTATACACTCACTGACTTCATTGTAAACACTATACACTCACTGACTTTATTGTAAATACTATACACTATCTGACTTCATTGTAAATACTATACACTCACTGACTTTATTGTAAATATGTTACACTCGCTGACTTCATTGTAAACACTATACACTCACTGACTTCATTGTAAACACTATACACTCACTGACTTCATTGTAAACACTATACACTCACTGACTTCATTGTAAATACTATACACTCACTGACTTCATTGTAAATACTATACACTCACTGACTTTATTGTAAATACTATACACTCACTGACTTCATTGTAAATACTATACACTCACTGACTTCATTGTAAATACTATACACTCACTGACTTCACTGTAAACACTATACACTCACTGACTTCATTGTAAACACTATACACTCACTGACTTCATTGTAAATACTATACACTCACTGACTTCATTGTAAACACTATACACTCACTGACTTCATTGTAAACACTATACACTCACTGACTTCATTGTAAAGACTATACACTCACTGACTTCATTGTAAATACTATACACTCACTGACTTCATTGTAAATACTATACACTCACTGACTTCATTGTAAACAGTGTTGCACTCGTGTTGCATTGCTTCTGTTATATGGCAGTGGTGTGCTTGTTGCTACTGCTTGTTGAAATGTTTGCGATCTTCAGATTGTAGTACCATTGCCTTGAACCGACGTCACTGTTGGCATTAAGTACTGCATCACCTACAGTGTCGTTATGCGGTCTGTTTGAATCGCTGCTAATGTGGCATAACATGCCTCCAAGTGATGGGTTGGTCAGGGTCAGTGACTTGGGTGTATTCATGTCATCGTATTTCAACTGCCTGGATCGATGTTCGTGATGTCATTCCCTGGATAGCCCGGTCCAGACTCGGCTTTTCTACAGAGAGCTGGAATATGATTGTACAGATTTACCTGGTCTGGTCTTATTGTGGAGGGGGCGGTAGCCTTGTGGTTAAAGCGTTCGCTCGTCACACCGAAGACCCGGGTTCGATTCCCCACAAGGGTACAATGTGTGAAACTCATTTCTGGTGTTCCCCGCCGTGATGTTGCTTGAATATTGCTAACAGCGACGTAAAACCATACTCAGTCAGTCTGCCTATTGCAGAGTGTCGCTGCTGGGTCGTGTTTATCAGCATATTGCCATGTCAGTGTTGTGCTGCCACAGCTATTCTGCAGGAATCTGTACTCACTTGTAATATCTGTATATACAATACAATTATTGTTAACTGTGCAACATTACTGTGTTCGTTGGTTGCGCTTTTAATTCTTTTTCGTATAGGTTTCTTGGTTACCTTATTGATACAACTGGGATACCGACAGGTTACACTGTCGGATTCCTTTACATGGGGTTCAAGTTCTTATAAATAAACGAAACTTCATCAAACTTATACGGGTTGATTCCCAAGTTGAAACGGGAAAGTGAAGTCGGAAATCAGTACGTAAAGAACTGTATTGTGAAAGCAAAAAATCAATAAATAATTAACACGTGTTGAATCACAAAAGACAATACAAGGCCAAACATATGGCAGCGGCATTGTGTATTAAGTCTAATCGCTCCTAGCATGTCCCGAAAGTTCAGCATCTGTTCTTGAACTAAGGAACTGGAAGCCTGCAATCGGTCGATGTTTTTCAATAGCTGCCTCGTCCTAACAGGACAAATACGACGCAAGTAATGTAATAGAAGGCATCTAGGTGCAGTTGTCTTACATGGGTAGTCTTGTGGAAACTGTTATCTGGCTAATACTCTCGAATGACGTGCAGTGGTCCGGGAAGTGAATCGACCACTGTTGACAAGCTCCTGTCAATGAAGCGCAACAACGGCTTCAAGAGCTGGGGCAGAGTTGTAGTTGACGTACCGGTCTGTGTGTGGGCTTTTCAGTTTTTTACAATCTCGGAATTCAAGTATTACTCAATCATCAAAAGGATTTTATTATTCAATGTATAAAAATGCACTTATTCCTGAACCATATCTTAAATTACCATTTCAAACTAGAATTTGGCTAACACAATTTAGGACAACAAATAGGTTACAATAGAAACAGGGCGCTGGCTAAATATTCTGAATAAAAACCGACTTTGTAATCTTTGTAATCAAGCTATTTGTGACGAATTCCATTTTTTACTCAGATGTCCATCGCTTGTTGAACAACGAAAACCCTTTTTACCAAAATATTTCTGTGTGAATCCCTCAATCTGTAAATTTATTTTTCTCATGAATTGTGACTATCAACCACTCATCCTCAAATTATCCAAATATATAAAACACTGTTTGTGCCTCTTCAAATGATATTATGTGAATATTTTATTTATATATATATATATCCCTGTATGTTCTCTATATCACTTTTTGTGATATTTGGAGAATAAAATTCTGTTCTGTTCTGGCTTGCGGTACACTAATCTTCTTAATTAATAACGGAAGGGAACACATGACCTTTGTTGTTCTTAAATGTACACATACAAGCTCTCTTCCTCGTAGCATTCATTCACCTGATGGCGGCATAAGGATATACTCCGGAACGCTGTGTTCCTCACAATAAAGAAGTTGACATCCATAAAAAGGCGCTTTCCCACAACTTAAGCTGATTGAACAAGGTATGTTTTCATCATATGAATGTGTGTATTAGTTTGGAATACTGACACTTTTAACATAATTTGACGTGACGTCAGCTGAATGTTGGAGAATATCCGGACGTGAGGCGGGTCTACGTGTACTACTGTAGTGAAACCCCCAACCATGGTATGGTGCGGACAAGCCCAGAAACAAACCCAGACACATTAACAAAAGTGACTTCAGATGAAAATATCAACAGATAATCGGCAATTCCTAACTATGTCAGAAATCAACTTAATCGCTTGCCAAATTCTATTAAAGTACAGAGCGCTTCGTCAGAATCAGTTCATGGCAAGTGTTTTCGACGTTTCCTCGGCCACGTGATTTTTACATAAGGCTATGGAAGAATCAATAAGAAGAACATTGCCTTCATGTCTTCTATTACCCCCAGTGGGACTGCGGCATCGATCCTAGTCGTTACGACAGTATGTTCCCCTACCTCGTACCATCTACCCGAGATTTATATTTAATGACAGTAAAAATCAATACTCCCCTGTCTGTGTCGTTCCGTCGACATCCCAAAGCTCGGCGCGTCCTGTTCTCATGACGACGCCTCTTTCCCACAGGCTGGCAATGTGTAGCAGCAGCAGTCTGTATAATCGAAGTTATCGGGGCCTGAGTGACAGAGAGTGTTGAGAATCGAGAGTGTGTGGGTTATGCCGGGAACACCAAGGCAACAAACAGCACATGGAACAAGAGAACGACGGTAAACATTTAACTATTATTGATGAGAGCTACCACTCATTATTTGAGACGGGTGCCTTCCTATTCATTAGACCGCTGATATCGGCTGAGTACAAGGTAAGGCTTCTCTCCATATTAATGATGAAACAGGGAAATTAGTTCAACTTAACGCGATAAGCACACCGGGTGTATCGGGATTCGAATTATAAGTAGCAAATGTTTTTCGTTATGTACAGACACAAAACTGGATTCGGGTCAGCCTCCCGCCCCCATTCCCTTGACAAGCCGTCATAGCCGAAATGTTGTTGAAAGTCCTGAAAAGTATATGTACAAAACGCCTTTACGTATACTATATCCGTGAAGCTTTTCTATTTAATAAGTGAGTTATAATGTAACATTGGATCCACGCTATTTCCGACATGTAGCGACTATACGTTAAAGAATATATATATTGATTACCCCCTTTTTCCATATTGGCAATTGGTTCCATGTGGAATGCAACCCCTTACCTGTCTGATATGTGAGATATCGAACATGCCCTCGTAGACTGATACATGAATGTTCTGTTCCTCATGGCTTGGCGATGGGTAGGGATTTGTTTGTTCGTCAGTGTAGATTTCAAGACAAATATTGGTTCTTGTTCTTGTTTACATATTACATGTGGATGGCCGAAGTATTTCGAAAAGAAAATTAAAATGAACCCAGTTTAATGACATATTGTAAATATATGTTAAGACTATAATATGAAGGTGAAAGTGACTTGTAAATATGACGTCACATAACGCAAATTCATTCTCCATGGTGTTCCTAAACAGGTGGCGCATAGGTATGTGTGAGTACTTATTACTACAGTATATGATCAGTATACACACGTGTACCGGCCACACCCACCCTCCAACCCCACTCAGCATACACACACCCGCACATACATACCTACGTCTAGTGTACGTACATACACCCATCCTTCATCCCTATCTAAAGATGTGTGCATTTGACTTCGTTTAAATGAGCAGATTTCAGTCCGATTGCATCAATACTTGACTCATTTTATTGAATTAAAGGCACATATTTCATTTACTTCTTGTTGACAAATTACAAAGTAGCGAACGTGAAGAGTGGGCTCAGCAACAAGCAGGATCTGCCAGTGAAATCTAGACGTATATTGTACTAAGTTCGGTGTGCAATACACTCTGATAAAATACACAAGGGTTGACACTCGCGATGCTAAAAACCTGATCGAAAGCCGGACAGCCCGATTATTTCAACATGCGGTTCAATCCAACCTTACGTTTTTGACCCCCAAAAATTGTGTTGAGCTTGTGGGTCATTCTTTTACCTTTCTGCTCATCGTATTCAATTGTATTTCATATTTGACCACTGACCCTCGCATTAGCACCACCCTCATGCTTTGAACAAACGTGTGGTCCCTCTGCGGTAAACATCGCCAATTTCCGTACATCTTTTACTGTACGGAAACGTTATTTAAGCAGTGCCGAGACACGAAAATCGTTACATGGGCGAATTGTAAACAATAACACTGACCCCATTTTCAACACCGACATGTGCGTTGATATTTCGTTTCAGCTCGCTTTTGTCTCGAAATCGTACTAAAAAAACATGGATTGAATATAGTTCTTTAATTTAACAAATTTGATGACGTATAATTCGATGATTTGGCCCCATTTCTCCTGTTGTATGCTGGAAATAAAATGAACGCCCACTAATAGTATCTAGGAAATGGTTGTTACCACATAATATTATAAATAATAAATAAAACTCATACATTTGAAACACAGAACTGAGTAATTCAATCGTGTATTTTTAACAATGTATGCGCTTTATAATAAAGAATAATATGCTTATTATTTGTATTCATTTGGCGTATATCATTTCAATATAACATCCATATCTATTCTTCCATTTTGCATGGGGTTGATCACGGTGATGCAATAGGCATTCATCTTAAACAGTATAACAATAGTCATGGTATGGCAACATCTGCGATATGCTACCGTGAAGTTGATTACACGTCAGACCATTGGTATGTTGGCTACTGGATATGGAATCACATGACTACTATGGTATATATAAAGCTGAATGTACCCTATTCCCCACCCCACTCAACCCCAGATACAGCTGCAGTTTTTATGTAATAGGAAAACGGACACATTATGAAATGTTAATAGAAGGAATTAGATAAACTGTTGACAGAACTACACCATGATTGCTGTAGGTTGTCAAATAATCAAGGTGAATAAATATCTTCACATTAACCACATCTTGTGTTAACCACACATATTCAAATCCAAGTCTAAACAGAATATTTTTAATATGAGTAGCCCACGTGGTAGGGCCAGAATCTTCCATTAGGTAGCATTGGCGAGGCAGTCCGTGTTCATCCAAATATCGTAGCCTGCGCCAATACTTAATATCCCTTGTGGTGTTGACAAGTTGGAGAGGGGTTCTGCCACATTCTCCCCAAACCATAGCATTGTTTGTTGTTTTCACATTTTGAGAAACCATTTACACATTTTATGCTGACAGGTACTGTTAAATAACTTTACAATTTTTAGGTCCCCTATACTTAATAGTTAACTGGTCAACACATTCAGATCACGTTCTTCTAAATTCAAAGCCAAATCACTGATTGTGTGTTGAAATGTATGTATGTATGCACTGCTGCAAAATATAATAAAGCGAAAAGAGTCCATTGCAGCATTTAATTAAACTTGTTAACTGCTGTCTGACTGAACAATTGGTGATATCAAATTATGTGATTATTGATACGTATCAGATCTATTCTAACATCACCAGGGTCATCATGTTCTAAATGAGTAATATATAGCAAATGCATACTCTGAAACAGGCTTCATACCATAAAAGTTGGGTTACTCAAAACAGGTGTCATTAGTAAAAACTATAAACAGTGGAATGTCCATCTGTCTAAAAAGTTCATCTTCAAAGATATGTACTTTTAAGGGATTGTATGTATTTTTTTGGTAATGTATTAACATACTGATCATACTTTGTATTTTTATATATTCAGTTTAGTGAAATAATGTGTCAAATTCATTGTATGGAACACTATATTTGTGTGTATTTTTGTGTACAGATCATTTGATTCACAATGTTTATTGCAATCATAAACATTTCTGAACAATATTGGTATACTTTTTTAATGTTGTTTTGCAAACCTATTCAGACCTATAATGTGACAACATTCTGTGAAAAAAGTATGCACATAGATGGATCTATGATATGTGCCAAAGTAACTCAAAGTAAGGAATATATTTTTCTGTATTATGTCACTGAGAGTTGACAATTTTACAAGCACAACCACAGTTTAAAAAACAATGGATTGAAATTTATCATTATGCAATAGAAAAAAAGAAATAGTTAATGGCTTTTCATATTAACAAAAATAGGCTTTAACATTATTCATATGGATCTAAACGCTTTCCCTAGTTATTTCACCAGGCGATCGAAACATATATCCGCAAAATCTAACCTGTAACGATGGAAGATACGGGACATAAACGGCGATATTTCAGATCCATGTGTCGAAGGGTTAGCGCAGCAGACCCCGGGAACCAGACTGAGCCGTTTCCAAATCGCTAAAAAATCTACGGAAACTATCGATGTTTACCGAAGAGAGGCTAGACGTTTGTTCAAAGCAGAGGGTAGTGCTAATGCGAGGATCAGTGGCCAAATATGGAATGCAGTTAGACAAATGAAAAAATGAGCAGAAAGGTAAAATAATGACCTACAAGCTAACACAACATTTGTGTGAAAAACGTAAGGTTTGATTGAACCGCGCGTTGAAATAATCGGGCTGTCCGGTTTTCGATCAGGTTTTTAGCATAGTGAGTGTCAACCCTTGTGTATGTTATGTAATGAGTGCAGCGGTAGGATTTTCTAAAATATTCATTTCTTCATCGATTTCGTTCATATTTGAAATATATGTTAACGATAACATTTAACAACAATATACAGTACATTGCAAATGTCTAGATTTTTATATGGTCACTGATTGTACAACGAGATTAGTACCAAGATGCGTCTGTGATGTGACAACAGTGGCAATCTGACGGGGGCAATGCTCTGTCTGATGAACTGCATGCATTATCGGAGAACAGTGGCAATCGGGCGAATGCATGGTGCTATCTGACTGACTGAGTTGATGGACAACAGTGGCAATCTGACGGGGGCAATGTGCTGTCTGATCGACTGAATTGTCGGACAACAGTGGCAATCTGGTGGATGCAGGGTGCTATCTGACTGACTGAGTTGAGGGACAACAGTGGCAATCTGACGGGGGCAATGTGCTGTCTGATTGACTGAATTGTCGGACAACAGTGGCAATCTGGTGGATGCAGGGTGCTATCTGACTGACTGAGTTGAGGGACAACAGTGGCAATCTGACGGGGGCAATGTGCTGTCTGATCGACTGAATTGTCGGACAACAGTGGCAATCTGGTGGATGCAGGGTGCTATCTGACTGACTGAGTTGAGGGACAACAGTGGCAATCTGGTGGATGCAATGTGCTGTCTGATTGACTGAATTGTTAGACAACAGTGGCAATCTGGTGGATGCAGGGTGCTATCTGACTGACTGAGTTGAGGGACAACAGTGGCAATCTGACGGGGGCAATGTGCTGTCTGATTGACTGAATTGTCAGACAACAGTGGCAATCTGGTGGATGCAATGTGCTGTCTGACTGACTGAGTTGAGGGACAACAGTGGCAATCTGGCGGGGGCAGTGTGCTGTCTGATTGACTGAATTGAGGGACAACATCAGGGATAACTGCCTAAATGACATTAGCTGATTAATGATAGTGAGTGAGGAAGTTCGGTTTTACGCCGCCTTTAGCAATATTCCAGCAATATCACAATGACACATGGTAATCATGATGATTATGATGATGATGATGATGATGATGATAACGCCAAAAAGCTTCGTGACAACTTAACTCGTCATTTATTTGATGACGAGACACAAGGGAAACATTAAAAGAAATGCAAACAAACTGGGAGCACCGTCAGACGGATTACCAGGGGATCAGTTTTTAACTCAACTGTCACACTGAACAGAAACGAGCTTAAAGGGCAAGTGATCCAACATAGCAATTTTGCAGTTTTCAATGACACTGCTTCCCAAAAATATTTATTTGAAAAACGGGGAAAATAAGATAGCAGGCGATGAAAAAGGACAGGCGAAAGTGTTCCCCATATGGAAACACGCCACTTGAGTTAAAACAGTGTTGAACTAGCAGTGGAAATTTTGAATTTCACAAATCCTGGCTGCTACCGCCTCGGATTTTTAAATTGCTTTACAGGACTTTTCCGTTTGCACATCCTTCGATAATAAATGTCTACCTTGGGCGTCAATCAATAACAGACATTCATTGATGGAATTGGTTTATTGTATCCAAACAGGATGGTCGTCAAAAAGCTAGGTAGCGACATCTGATTACTCACAATGTCAAGATCAAAGTTGGTTTCAAACACAGAACTAAATATGATATGGCATTTTGGTGGCCTCCTACGCCCAGTTGCCAGACAGCTTGTACCAAGATGAATCAATGTTGGTTAGTGAACCGACAGTTACCTTCCATTAACACGGAGGAGACAATGGTCTGACAACCATCTTGAGGACAGGTTTATCCATCATCAAATCATACAGACATTCACACTTTGAAGTATTCATTATTTACAGGAAATATTTATTCAACATTAATGTGAAACATATTTCATTATTAGCAATTATACAGTTAAAATATTATCGTTTACTTAAGGTATGATATTATCACATTGTTAGAAAGATACTATTTTACTGGACAAAATAAGTTAGGGATATTGTTATTTTATGATTGATATTTTATCAGTGTGTAATGAATAAAGAGGTCAGTATTCATAATTTCAAAATTTACATATATCCCTAACTATTTTTGTCCAGTATATATACTACAGATTCAGCAATAATCATTTGTATACGTCTATTAATATTTATTTTTCGCTTGGAAATAGAGGGAAATTATATCAGCAAGAAAATCGCAAATTACATTTTGCCATACATGCCCTTTAATTAAGATCTGGGTTATTGGATACTGTTTAAGGTAGCATCATTAATGCCCCTGGCTATCTGTGGCAGGAAAGACTTTAGGAACAGGCAGATTGCGTTTCAAGACTACATCGCTCACATAACTGGCAATAGACCACAACAGGCAGGTGACAGAGCGAGGAATCAATGGGCCCAGAACGTCCAGAGGTCTCCGGAATACCGTACAACAGCCGGTGAATGTAGCTCATCTCAAAATGCTCGGTACAGTTACATGACTAATTCTCTGGTCGAAATTTATACCAATATCGATCCTACATGGCATTCAAATTATCAATATTGTATTGATTTCATAGTAAACATATTATAGCTTTGATCTCCCGACGGACTTTTAATTCATGGAGCGTTTGTATCTGTAATTTCATGTTAATTCATTTTTGTATTCTATCGACAAAACGGAAATAACTTGACATTTGGATGCACGAGTCACGTGCAATACGTGTATTGCATTTCCCTACTTTTGAGGAGAACAGTTTATTTGCCTTCCCATGTATTTGTGATGAAAATGTTTCTCTCGCTTTCACTTACAGTTATTAAAATGTTGAAGATTTTCTTGCAAACGAGGGGCGGTGGGGTAGCCTAATGGTTAAAGCGTTGGCTCGTCACGCCGAAGACCCGGGTTCGAATCCCCACATGGGCACAATGTGTGAAGCCCATTTCTGGTGTCCCCCGCCGTGATGTTGCTGGAATATTGCTAAAAGCGGCGTAAAACCAAACTCAGTCAGTCAGTCAGTCTTGCAAACGAAACTGGCTCCACGCGACCGTGGATGCATCATTCAATCTAATGCTTACATTACGTCCTTGCGTACTTTTCCATAGCGTTTCCCATCTGACTACTTCCACAAGGAACTAGCATGACGCACAACATGCCGCCAGGCCATGAAGGATCCTATGTCCAATGCAGTTTAGTCTATTGAAGAAAATTCATTATCAATGCAATGTCTTAATTTATCAATTTGCGTTTTAGTGATTAAATGTCATACATTAAATGCCTGAACATTCTTGATGTACCAATAAAGACATGCGAGTGTCGTTGTTATATCTTCAAGTGTTATCGAAATGACATGTTCACTGGTGGGGACTTTAATCCCATGGGAGATCAGGTTTGTGTGGCACCAAGTATTTTGGCGGATTCGTAAACAAAGTAACGGAATACTTGAACAACGAGGAGAGTTCTATGAATATACAACTTCTGTAATATAAAGTGAGCGACGTTTCGGTGTAGCTACTAACATCGTTATCAAGCTGTGGAGTTTGTTAATGGCTGAAACTGCCACGTGTCCATAAAGACGGCGGATAATATAAAATGAGCGACGTTTCGGTGAGCGACTCATTACGGTGTTAGTAGCTACACCGAAACGTCGCTCACTTTATATTAAAGAAGTTGTATATCCATAGAACTCTCCTCGTTGTTCATCACACCAACTTCTGAATGCCACTCAAACAAGTTAACGGAATACTTGGTGGGGACTTTAATCCCATGGAAGATTAGGTTTGTGTGGCAACAAGTATCGTGATATTTCATCCACAGTTACTGTACAGCCACATTACTCCACGTGCAACACGTCCAAGCATAGGTTAGGGGGTGTTAACAAGTACACAATATGTGAATTGTTAGCTGGTGGTCTCGCAATAATGTTCAACACGTGGATATTAACCCTATTATGATATAACGATATTACATTATTATGACAAAAAGCTGTAACCCTATAATGAGGGTTCATTAGAACTGATGTTCCTATAACAAAGATATAACAATTATACCTTTTCTCACAAATAGTGTAGTATCGTCGAATATATCAGTACACTTAAAGCAGATGTATTGGCAAATTGCGAACATCAAGCATGTGCTTCCCTGGGTAGCTGACTGCATGCAACCAGCAGGATACATGCTGACACAGAGTTACGCACGAACCCGGAACATTCGTGCGGAAACCCGGACAATTGATGCAGAAAAGCAAACCAATCACGCGATTAATCTGAACCATCACGCAAAAAACAGAAACCACTAACGTGTTTTGCATCGATGTTTATCTGTCTCTGTTCCATTTAGGACACAGACAACGTAACACATACCCTTGACATGTTCAATTATTTCTTATAATGGTACATCCGTCCTCTTAAATTTGTAATCCGTACTTCTCATCTTTGTACCAAATAACGAACAACTAATATATATTCAATTATACAAAGTACTCACGACAAACAATTGTTTGTTTGAACGCCGCACTCAGCAAGATTCCAATATGGTGACTGGCTGTAAATAATACAATACAGTGACTAATAGCATGGACATCGATCTACGCAGTTGGGATACAATGACATGTGTCAACCAAGTCAGCGGGCCCAACCACCCGATCCTGTCAGTCGGCTCTCACGACAAGCATGGGTTGCTGAGGACCAGTTCTGATCCGGGTCTTCACGGGTCCACGACAAACAAAGAATTAAAATGTTACCCTACCGCTTTCCCATGTAATTAATCCCTATGGTAGCAACACACTTCTACAATGGAATAACGTGTGCAGTTTGGGAATGAGAGTTTATGCATAATGTGGCCACTTCAGCTCCAGATAAAAACTTCTTCCTTTTCCCATTTCAGGTATTGGAAACAGAGCTTTAAAGATTTCAACCTCTGACAACGAGACCGCCATATTGAATCATGGGAGACAACTCTACCCCTCAAACAATCGAAGTGACGTTAGGCCAGGAAAACTCTGAGGGAGACAAAGATTTCAACAGTAAGAGGATGGAAGGACAAGGGGAAAACCAGGAGAGTGATACCACGTCACAGACGGAACTGAAACCTGTCAAAACCATAGCATTTTGCAGATTCATTGTTAGAAGACACAAGCTTGCGTTTGGTAAGTGAAAAACTATGTTCGTGAGTTGAGTAAAACCCATTCACTCGAACTTCCGATCACCATCGATGATACGTCGAATTCGTACTTCGACACAAGCAGTGTGTTGTTAGGACAAAAAGGCTGATAGTATAACGGCCCAATACTACTTGGCAAACTGAATAGTACGGTATTGTGTCTGAACTGGCAACTTTGCTGGATGATGATGGTTTAGTTAGAGCTGAATGTACAATCCTTTAGACAGATCCCACTGTACAGCCATTTAGACATAGCTGAATGTACAACACTTTAGACAGAACTCAATGTACAACCGTTTTGACAGAGCTCACTGTACAACCGTTTAGACAGAGCTGAATGTACAACCGTTTAGGCAGAGCCCACTGTACACCTCTTTAAACGGCGACAACTGTAAATCGTTTTTTTACAGAGCCCACAATACACCGGTTTAGACAGAGATCAATGTACACCGGTTTAGACAGAGAACACTGTGCAATCCTTTAGACGGACACCGCTGTACACCAATTTAGACAAAGATCACTGTACACCGGTTTAGACGGACACCGCTGTTTACCGGTTTAGACAGAGACCACTGTACACCGGTTTAGACAGAGAACACTGTACAACCCTTTAAATAGACACCGCTGTACACGGGTTTAGACAGAGATCACTGTACACCGGCTTAGACAGAGAACACTCACTGTACAACCCTTTAGACGGACACCGCTGTACACCGGTTTAGACAGAGGACACTGTACAACCCTTTAGACGGACACCGCTGTACACCGGTTTAGACAGAGATCACTGGACAAACCTTTGGGCGGAGACTGCTGTACACTGGTATAGACAGAGATCACAGGGCACCGGTTTAGACAGAGATCACTGGACAACCCTTTGGACGGACGCCGCTGTGCAACGGCAAATATCACTCTGTTTCGTTTTCACATAAAGCACAGAGACATTGTTATTCCGGTAGTTATGGCCGACCGGAATACCTATCTAAAAGCGGGAAGTCTAGGATAGTAAAGGTTGCATTAGTGTCCTCGTCTGACACTGGTCCTGGTAGTGATGAATGAGTACAAACAGGCTAATAGACAACGACGGCCAGCAGAACCTTGCAATTTCCTTCCGTGGTAATACAAAACTTTCAAAGGCAAGATTATCAAACCCGTTACGTAGGCGAACAACCCGTTAGTAGACAAGTCATCTGATGTCATGAAGAGTTTACATTGACGTTATGTGATATGACATCTTCGACTATCTAGCGTATTATATCCTCATTCTATAATGTTAAATAACCATGACCTATTCACCAGCAACGTTTCATTTTGGAAGTAACGTCCCAGCACTGTTCTGTGCTCCTGAGTGTATTTTGATTGGACTGAGAGTTCAGTGTGTTCCGGCAGCAAACGAACATGCCATAGGCGGATCCAGAGGGGAGTGCAAGGTGGTGATACTGGTACAATACCCCCGACAATCGAGCATGGTGATAACAACTGATTACTGATACAACTAGAGTGACTTCTACTGCCTTTTGTCGAGGGTCATCTCTTGACCAATGGAAGTCATTTCTTTCATTTTAATGATGTAGCAAATCTGGTTGCAAAACTTTCTTATGTAAGGGAACTGGATCCAGCACATACAATGTGCAACTCCCTTTATCTTACCTCACACATAAATGGGGGGGTGGGGTAGCCTAGTGGTTAAAGCGTTGGCTCGTCACGCCGAAAACCCGTGTTCGAATCCCCACATGGGTACAATGTGTGAAGCCCATTTCTGGTGTCCCCGCCGTGATGTTGCTGGAATATTGCTAAAAGCGGCGTAAAACCAAACTCAGTCAGTCACACATAAATGTCGTTTTCTGATTGGCTGACCCAATCAATGTACCGTACAAGTAACCCCGAGTAACAGTTTCTATGTTACCCTCTAGAAATGCCGAACTGTGGGATTTCGTTTGGTACTTCGTGTTAGTAAGGTTTGGAGTGTTGCCTAACTCCGGTACTCCTTATTACGATCCAATACCGTGCTTCAAACAGTTCAAAATTACCATTGAGGTGTTCAGTAAGATAAATACGTTGTTCACTGGTCCCTCGGGGCCATGGGTTGATGTCACGTATGGCGCGTGACACGTGCACTTTGTGATCAATGGACTTACTCACTTTTTGCATGCTTTTTGACAACTGGAGTTCACACACCTGATATTGGAAATTGAAGAACGGTTGATTATTCTCTAGCCTCTGACTGTTGTGGAAAACACGTTAATTTCAACATAAACTGCGCGTATGTCATGACATGACCGTGGGTATGATGGAAACTGGAATGGCCCAAAATGAAGTTGCCAGACATTTTCGTGTCCATCGAAACACGATCTCATCTCTATGAAGACGTTTTCAACATAATGGGAAGACGATAGATTTGACCGGCCGTCTACGTGTGACGTCACGTCAGCAAGGCAACCACATTCGGCTGACCCTTCTCAGGAATCGATTCAAGACTGCCGGTTTGACTGCTCGGACCATTCCTGGCTTACGTCCAATCAGTTCAAGGACTGTACGAAACTGAGGGAGCACAACATCCGGCCCCAACGACCTGCAATATGTCCAAAGATAGGGATGGTGTTGTGTTCACTGACGAGTCGAGATTTCATTTGGACAGCTCAGATGGCAGGGCAAGGGTGTACAGACGGCGAGGTGAACGGTATTCTGAAGCGTGCGTTGTTCAGCGTCGACAGTTTGGTGGCGACAGCGTTATGGTATGAGGGTACATAACATATCATGGTTGGACACTAAAGCAGATGCTCCTAGAATAAGGTCCTTGAAGCCATTTGAAGATCTGTCTAAATCTAACACACCAGTACCCCTACTCGAATCTACAGGTACAATGTATAGCAGTTGAAACATTGTTGCACAACGTATAACATTGCTTCACAACACTACATTCTGTGGTGGTTATGCATTGGTGATGGCCAAGATATATAAACATTATAATTGATGGGGATACTCATTAAGTAATGATTTTCTAAGGAAAACGACATGTGCGAGAGAACATGATTTATTGAAAATCAATGTTCTCTTCCTGTTTCATGCATCAATCTTCTTAGTACTATATGTAACAATATTCTGTTAGGAGTTGTTAGGGTATAATGTCCCGGCCTTACACAGTACACTGATTCTTGATGTAAATCTGTTGGTACTGATTCCTGTACCTGCCAGGTATATTTCTTCTAGTATACAATGTCTAATATTGTGAGACTGGCGTCGGCATCCCAGGCCACGATTTGTAGGAGTTGCGGCCCTTGGACGTGCCAGAAACCTATGGTTGCGGGTTTGAATGTTGGTTTGCCCCATTTATGTTTCTATGTGTGTGAGCACGATACCATGGCTTGTTTCACCAAAACGGTAAACGTCTGGAACCCGCGTTACTTCTGGGTTTGCTGTCATATTAGGTTAACAGGCCGTGATAAATGTAACTGGAATATTGTTAAAAGCTGTGTTTAACCCAATTCGATTTATTCACAAAGACAACTAACTAGCTGTATTCAAGGGTAAGTGAGTCAGTTGAGATATCGCCATTTTGAACATTATTTTGGTGTGACCTGAGAGAAAAAAGCATGACATATGACCTTTCTGTTACTTGCACGAAAATTGTGAGCAAGTGTATGATACTGTCTAAAAATATTAGCCATTCAGTTCAACTCCCGTTCCTGTAAGAATGTACATCCATTCCACAAACCACCGTTAGGTACTGTCAAAACAGCTGAGAGTGTCAGAGAAAAGCTGTCTGGGTGTTTAGAAAGGTGGGGAACTTAATAATCAATATACTACCTAATCAGGAGCGGAAAGCTGTTTTAGTTACAGGCAGTACACTGTCGCCATGACACTGTTCTACGAAAGCTAATCTGTGCCATCTAACGTCACCCAACGGAACTTTCGCTGAAAGAGCTGTCATAATGATGTTGTCTTTAACTTCACGTAGTGTTAATGCTGTGTCTTAGAGTTGCCGTTTCGTTGGCAACATTACTTCATGACATTGGTGTTTGTACCATATGGTGGGGGAGTAGTACCAGCACCTCACACCCCTGCATATCCAAGACAAGATGCACGCAAACACACACGAATGCACGCACACACACACACACACAAACACACACACACACACACACACACACACACACACACACACACACACACACACACACACACACACACACACACACACACACACACACACACACACACACACACACACACACACACACACACACACACACACACACACACACACACACACACACACACACACACACACACACACACACACACACACACACACACACACACACACACACACACACACACACACACACACACACACACACACACACACACACACACACACACACACACACACACACACACACACACACACACACACACACACACACACACACACACACACACACACACACACACACACACACACACACACACACACACACACACACACACACACACACACACACACACACACACACACACACACACACACACACACACACACACACACACACACACACACACACACACACACACACACACACACACACACACACACACACACACACACACACACACACACACACACACACACACACACACACACACACACACACACACACACACACACACACACACACACACACACACACACACACACACACACACACACACACACACACACACACACACACACACACACACACACACACACACACACACACACACACACACACACACACACACACACACACACACACACACACACACACACACACACACACACACACACACACACACACACACACACACACACACACACACACACACACACACACACACACACACACACACACACACACACACACACACACACACACACACACACACACACACACACACACACACACACACACACACACACACACACACACACACACACACACACACACACACACACACACACACACACACACACACACACACACACACACACACACACACACACACACACACACACACACACACACACACACACACACACACACACACACACACACACACACACACACACACACACACACACACACACACACACACACACACACACACACACACACACACACACACACACACACACACACACACACACACACACACACACACACACACACACACACACACACACACACACACACACACACACACACACACACACACACACACACACACACACACACACACACACACACACACACACACACACACACACACACACACACACACACACACACACACACACACACACACACACACACACACACACACACACACACACACACACACACACACACACACACACACACACACACACACACACACACACACACACACACACACACACACACACACACACACACACACACACACACACACACACACACACACACACACACACACACACACACACACACACACACACACACACACACACACACACACACACACACACACACACACACACACACACACACACACACACACACACACACACACACACACACACACACACACACACACACACCATTACATGAGTCCCTGAATTCCTCATGCATTTGACAATAAAATGACAAATGGTATTTGTCGCCAATACAAAGAGTCTCGGTTCAGTCAACCTAATACATCCAGTGTGAAATCGAACGCCGTACTCGAAAAACATCATTTGTTTGAAATGTAAACAAATTTACCGAGTGTGTCATTTTCCCATATCGTGAGAGGTCCGTGCGTGTACAAGTGCTCAGTAGTTATAGAATAAGCATGGGAAGAATGACATCAAACCAGGAACTGGAGAAATTCCACTATGAAATCGCATTTTTTAAAACATAACGTAAGAATGACATTGTATGGTGAATAGGTTATCACACTCGTGTGTTTTGTGATGGTTATTATCCTGTATTATAACATGTGCTATTCCGGTAAAATATAGCACATGTTACATTTGAACACTTTCTAAATGGCATTGTGTATTCATATCCTGCATTAGGAATAAACACTATGTGTTTAGCTCGCCAAAACCCGCTAAATACAATGTTTATTCCTAATGCAGGATATTAACCATCCCAAAACGCCCGCGTGATAACCTATAGTTATCTTAACTACTAGTTATCACACATCCCGAGTGCCAAGAACTACACTTGCTTCGTCATTGATCACCTGGTATCACCACTTTGGCTTTACACTGACACCATGGTCTAGGTTCATGAATTATTGGCTTAGCTTTCTCTCGTCTCAGGACATGCTTATCTTCTGGTGTCATCACTGACTTTCAGTGGTCCTATAATTTGAACAGTTAATTTGTCCTATGTATCAATTGGAATCTGTTTCTAGAGATAGTCGAGGCTGGCTACTTATTGCACTGACGTTTAATATATCCATTGTTTTGTGACAAAATGATAAAAACAGTCCAGATTGGGCCTGCGGAAATGCACTAAGACAGCGGAAATGCACTCAAAGAGGATTGCTTCAGTGACATACCAGTAGAATCCCTAAAAAGAAATGGTACGTTACATGATTTAGATTGATCAGGAACATTTCCAGTACGTCATGGTATAACCCGAGTACTATCTTGATGATCTACAATATACCTTCTAGAAGCCATAAGATAATGTACGTGTGAATCAGCTCACATTAACACCAGCGGTTCTGTGAAGACCTTTTTTTAATCCCTGGATCTTCAGCCTATGTCTGTGTGGGGTGAACTTGACCACTGTTGCTGTTCGATGAATATAACTATCCCTGACGATGTTGCACGGCGCGGTGGCACGGCTGACAAAGTCGCATAAAAATATTTGTTGTGCAGAGAATCTCATTTGCCCCGGTTTGCCAGCCGTGCTCGTAATTGGCAACCGTGTAAGACCTGCATTGCTTGAGGCCTACATATATTTTACTACTGTATATATGTCCACAGTCAGTGTGCTGTTTGGCAGCTCATGAAATATTCATTAGCGTATTTTAGTGTCCGGCCGAGTTGCTCGACGTCGTTTATGTGATCGGCTTACATCGCAACATTACGTCATACTATACTACGTCATGCAGTATGATCAATGAGGCAGTTTTACGTTTGGTGACCAATGGATGCTGCTGACAGCAAACCATCACAAACTCAATTCATACTCTCTCATAAAACCTACTTTTAATATTGAGTCTATAGCCACTTTTAGTCGCAATTCATTAACTTACCTTCTATTAATTGCGATTAGATATTTTATATGTAAAAGGCATAACCATTATCATGATTCTTATAATTATTATGATAGTCATTATTTATGAAAATCGTAGACCACCCCCCAATGAAGTCTTCTGAATACAAATAATAACTAAAATACATGGATAATCAAAACTCCTTATTTGCATCAATGTTGTACACGGCTTTGTACGGTTTACTCTCATTCTGCCTACAAATCATTCTGCCTACGGACATAATAAAAGTGTAGGCAGAATGAGAAAATCAGGCCACCCCTAATTTAGAAATGGACTTGCCCATGACAGTAACATAACACAATCTTGCTTGTATTCATATTCATCACTGAAAATTTTATATGTATTTCTATTGCCAATGTATGCATACCTGATAGGATTAAACTATGTTGCTGATGCAGATTATGTACGAAACCCTATCATGCCAAATGTTACAAACCCATTTTGGAAAGATATATTATCGGTATGGTGCCATTACCTTAAGAAATGTTATTCAGAGGTAAACGAAAACTCAGATATTCTTTGCCAATCTCTATGGTTCAACAATAATATGCAAATAGAGGGAAAAATGTTTATTATGAATATATGGCAAAAAAGGGAATACATTTTGTGGATGATATCTTAGATCTTAATGGGAACTTCTTAGAAAAAGCTGATATCGAACAAAAATAAGGTATACCTAAGGTTAACTTTTTGCATCTTGATGGTATGAAATGTGCGGTGTTGGCTTACGCAGAACTAAACATATAAGTGATATAGGAAAGACCTGTTCTGAGTTTCAAAGCCCAATATTACCTTTTAACATATCCTGTATTTGTGGAAAAAACAAAGGAGTAAAACCTTCTATAACACTCTTTTGCCACAATGTCAGATTTCTTATATTATAACAATATGTATACTTGTTAAAAAGTGAGGTATAACAGGTTTAACCGGAACTCCGCAAAAAAACATAAGAATGTTCATATAACAAGGATAAATCAAGCAGTCCGCTTATCAAAACAACTCAAACAAAAAACCGAAGACACACACAAAAAAACAAGACACAAAAAAACAAAAACAAACAAGCTCTTCCATTTTTTCTTGTGGGGAGGTAGGGTCAATGTATATTTCCCTAGTTCTTGCTTATGTAAATAGTTGTTGCTCGGTCATAACCTTGGAATGATATCTTGTCAGCCAATGAGAACACAGAACAACTTCATCGCTCAAATGATCGATTCATATCTTAAAGCACGATATCGGAGACAGTTTGTTGATGAGCTGTAAATAATCTATGTATTCTTTGATGTCATAATAAACAGACGATGCCTGAAATAACTTCATTTTGCATGTTTATACACTTGAAAAATACTTTAGATCCGCAAAATGTACACAATCCTAAATGTCTGTTCTGTGTTTGTCATCTTCCTTATTCCAATGCCAGGCTACATGTATGGCACGAATGCACTATTTGCTATGAACATCATCTTCAAAACGACTGTACCATAAAACGTTGTTACTGTGGAAACAAATATTATTATCCTAACTGAAAAAAGAAGCAATTAGAACCCGAGAAGAACTAATTGCTTTTCATCTTAGAGTGGTTGATAGTATATTGAGAGTTGACAGTTGACAGTTGATACTACCTGCCCGATGGCAATAACGATGTTTGTCATTCATTCATATAATTCCACCTTAAAGATTCAAAATGTAAAGGGTGAATGGTGAGAATATAAGGGTTATCACGAACCTCTGTAAGCTCAAGAAATCAGAGATTGGTCGAAAAAAAACACCCAGACGGCCAAACCTTAGGGTAATGGAGGCCCTCTGCCGATCGACGTTCATAAGACACTGCGGGAAGGAAATGCGCTGTGCAGTGTTGCTTCCGTTAAGCATGGCAGAATCCTGTAGTCCTGTTGTGAAAAAAGGTCATCCTGATTATATTTTCATTTTGTCATTACCAAAGTGTTTTTTCCATTCAGTGGTAAAATGTTGAAACCCGCCATAAACTAGCGGTAGGAAAGTACCTAGGATAGATGTAAGGACTTAATCGTGTATTTGTGTTTGCAGGTCTGACTCTTGGTGGACATATATTGCTGATAGTGGTGTCTGCAATTCTAGTCCAGAGCGGATATAACCTGTTCCCGCTGAGCTTTACCGGGGTCCCCCTAACGCTGACAGAAGATGAGACCTACCTCCGGGGAGAAGCCTTTTTCAGGGCGGATAGCAATGCAATAATCCTACCAAAGAGTTTGGACGTGTTCTCTGCAGAAAGAACAGAGACAACGGAAACGCTGACGTTGTACTACGAAGGTAGTAACGTTTTCACTAAAGAGAATCTCCAAGCAATTGCAGTTTGGGAAAACGAGTTAGTCGGGGAACCAAAGTATGGAAACTTCTGTAGATTAAACGCAACGGGACAGTGTGTAAAGCCTTTCTCAATTATCAGGTTCTTTGATGGAAGTTTAACATCAATAACACCAGATGTAAATTATGACAATATTGTTGGAACACTGTCTGCCGCAATGAACGATCCGGCCACTGCCCAGCTGCTGCAGTATCACCTGGGGAAAAATGCCGAGATAAATGCAACTCTAAATAGAACCTCCTCCCCAATAACAAGGTCCATCATCTACCTTGGACACGCCAATGAAGATCAAAGACAGGACTTCTTGGTAGAAAACTTCCGCAGCAAGCTAAACAGCAAAACGGAGACGGGTGTCGGAGGAATGGCATTTATCTTCACGTCAACAAGTCTTTTCACTTATGACATTCAGCGACAGGTGATATTCGATTTGCTTCTCGCTGGAGGAAGCTTTGGATTCATATTTATCTTCATGCTTATCCAGACTCAGTCCTTGCTCATCACAGGTTTAGCCCTATTCAGTGTTTTAACGAGTTTTCTTGGAGCCAATTTGATCTACAGAATAGTGCTGGATTTTCAGTATTTTGGTATTTTCCATGTCCTGTCTATATTCATCATCCTGGGTATCGGTGCCGACGATGTGTTTGTTTACTTTGATACCTGGAGGGCCACGGCCCATGAGAACCATGAATCCCTGGAGGAGCGTGTGTCCGCCTGCTACAGGCGAGCATCCAAAGCCATGTTCGTGACGTCACTAACCACCATGATAGCTTTCTTTGTAAATGCCGTTTCTCCCCTGTTAGCTGTGTCTTCTTTTGGTCTTTTCTCCGGTATCTTGGTCCTCGTCAACTACATCTCCGTCATCGTCTTCTTCCCAACTGTTGTTGTCATGCACCACAAGCACTGGGAGAACTGGACGTGGCCGTGTTTCCGCTGTTGCAAGAAGAAATCTCGGGAAATCTCGCCAAGTCACGATCTCAAAGACGGAAAACGGAAACACCCGATCGTCCGTTTTTTTCGTGGCATCTTTTTTTCCTTCGTTAGTCACAAAATAATCAAATGGGTCCTCGTCTTACTGTGCTTAATCGTACTGAGTGTGTTCATCTACTTTGCGACGACTTTGAAGCCAGAGGAAGAAGCTGTAAGTAACAGAGGCGTTGTTAATTTGGGGTTAAAGTTTGGGTGATGGGGGAAGAGTACTCGAACTGTTACTTAAAGCATTCGCTCGTCAAAACACAAGTTCGGATTCGATTCCCCACTTGGGGTTAAAGTTTGGGTGATGGGGGAAGAGTACTCGAACTGTTACTTAAAGCATTCGCTCGTCAAAACACAAGGTCGGATTCGATTCCCCACTTCACAAATGGGGGTTGTCTGATAGCGACGATCCCTCTTGACCGTATATGTATAAATGTATCGTAAAATCATAGTCTCCGTTGACCATGTATGCTTCTTAATGGTCTTTATTTCAAATACCAGATCAAGATTTACAAGGATTCCCACAATTACGGCAAGGCAATTGATCGCAACCTCAACTCGTTCAAACCTAGTGTCCAGGACAAAGTCATAAAGATTTACTTGGTATGGGGTTTAAAGGGGCAAGACCGGGCGTCATGCCACAAGACGGACTACGAATGCACTGGGAAAACGGTGTGGGATGAAGGATTTGATCTCAATCCTAAACCAGCACAGAATGCCCTCTTTGTAAGTATTAGATTATGCTTCAAACACATCACCCCATGACATAACAGGAGAACTGCTCTTAAAATACAGATGTAAGAGCATCCTTATGACACCCCATCATCACAATGCTGTCTTTACATTAGATACAAGTATGCCTTCAATCTCCAGGCTGGTGGATTAACCGTAAAATATATACACACAGGATGGAAAAGCTCTTCTTATAACCTCCATACGTTGTAGCTGGTATGCCAAAATTGTTGTCAACCGGTAATATCTTTCTCATATCACTTTCCCCTCAACTACCATGTTCAAAGTGAATACACGTACATTGCTACAGGTTTTATGACATACAGATGGAACCATAGTATAGTATATGTGTACACAGTAGGTTTAAGGAACGATCACCCCAAGCTGGAAAAGTAATTCCATACTCCCCCGTGTCATCTCTACACAGGACCTGTGTGCCAGACTCCGCAACTTGAGCGACGCGGAGGTTGCCAGCTTGAAGATACGTCTTGACAGCATCAGCGGCTACCCCGACGTCGACTGCTTCATCACGGACTTCAACACAGACATGCCCGTATGTATATATCCAGTTTGAAGCCATTTGAAGACGTGGACATCGCTGTAGCTGTAGCGTCGATCTACGAAGAAGGCCACGGATGACCATTTGCGACTGGGAATGTAAATTGTCATTGACGGATCTGGAAACTAACCCGGGTCTGACCCTGGCTGACTTGATTACATGTTATGCATGTTATTAGTGATTGCATTGGACGTTCCTCACTTGTAGGTAGTGATTGCATTTGACGTTCCTCACATGTTGTAGGTAGTGATTGCGTTGGACGTTCCTCACAATATCATCCAAGAACTTCCTTGTCCCTCACAATATCATCCGAGAACTTCCTTGTTCCTCACAATATCATCCAAGAACTTCCTTGTTCCTCACAATATCATCCAAGAACTTCCTTGTCCCTCACAATATCATCCAAGAACTTCCTTGTTCCTCAAAATATCATCCAAGAACTTAGTTGTTCCTCACAATATCAACCACTGGTTCGATTACGAACAAGTTTCAGCCGAGTGACGTAGTCTAGAAATGGCTAGGGTAGAAATTAGACTTTGGGCAAATGGAGACTATTGTCTCGGGAACATGGTTGCATGCTGGCGGACATTGTTCAACTCATTCTCCGGTCTCCCACTCCTCCCTCACAGCAGGACCTTACTTTAACAGTCCTGGTCACATGCTGCCATAAACACTCGTAGTTTGAAATATATAACTGTCGCTATTTCAACAACTGACGTCATTGATAAATACAGAAATACAGTGATCAGATGTGTGAAATGAATTTCTTGTTTTTTATTTATACCTGTTTGCATTTCTCATATAGACTTCCACCAGCAATGTTACTGGCCTGCCCTTGTCGGAGATCACGATGTCGGCCTTCATGGGGGGGAATCCACAGTTGTATGACGCATCTCAGGACATGACCAACTTCTACAGGTACTTCGAGGTAAGCGTCATGTAGTCGATGTGTTCTCATTGTCACCGGAGTGAAAACAGCCATGCTCTTCACTGTCCACTAACCGCCCTACGTTACCTGCTCATCGCTGTGGACGGTCGGTTCAGCTTGGCCCACTTCGGCCCGGCCAGGCATGACGATATTCATTAACGTTTTTGTCTGAGGTGAGGTGAAATTTGGTATAACGTCGTTCTTTATAAGAATATTTGACGAATATATGACGAAGTGCATGCATGTGTATGTGTGGCGTCTTGTACTAGCGCAGACTAAAGCTGGTTTTATAGTGCTAGCTCACTGAGATACCATGCCGCAGTATAGCATAAATACCCCACTCAGATACATTATACTGACTCCGAGTCGACCAGTCCTTGTTGTACCCATTAATGCCGAGCGCCAGGCAGGGACCAACAAGTACCGTATCTTAACGTCTTTTGGTATGACGCGGCCGGGGATCGAAGTTTATGTCCTACATACATTCTATTCGTTTACAGTGTAATTGCCTACATTCATCATGCACTGAAATCCTATAAGAAATGGGTTATCTTGTATGTGTAGGCAAGATTTTTCATGTATTGAAGAAGCGTTAGAAACTGATTTTGACCATGTAGCGGGATCACCTTGTGCTGTGTAGATATTTGCCATGTATTTAAGACTATTTTTGCCATCTTACAAATCATAAATATCTGATAGTAAATGTGTACTGTTATCCAATAGTAGCATATGTTCAGCTGTTATTTCTCGAACCTACATCTCTACTGATGGTCGTATAGTTAGTTTGCTAATCGTGTTTTCCCTGTTTTAGTAACAACACAATTCTGGTTATTCTCGGGCATTTGAGGTCCCTGCTAGCTAACACTGATCACTTATTCCGAGGTCCGTCAAATTATAGTTACAACCAACCTCTCCTGACATTGCCATTCGCAAGTCCTTGATGACACTATACTCACCTATATGGGTAGTCACCACAATCAGTGGACATGGGACGTGTAAGGGTCGATTGCCCCAAATTCAGGAAGGAATGTACATCCTTCATATCCTCTTATGTTTGCCTCCCATAATCCTGAGTGTTTTGCCAAAATCTCACCTCAGCAATTAGTGTCAATTTAAAGTACAGCTTACAAACCCGCAAAACTCCGTTAACATGGTGGAACGGGAAATAGCAAACTCTAGGAGAAAGAAAGTCCTCAACAGGTCAAACGGGATAAATCAGTCCCAAACCCGAGCAGTCAGGACAAAAGTAAGACAAGTCATGGCAGAATTTCTGCATACCTCTAACTGAAAAAACAACATACATACAATCAGGGGGGAAGGGAAAGCTCCCACAATTCCCCAGTTTGGTCAAAGAAAAGTCCAACAATCTAGGTGATCACTTCTCATCAGCTGCCAAAATACACGCAGCAATGATTTCAAACTGGTAAAATGCTTCTACCTAAGATATAAAACAGCAGCAGACATCTGGTGTACAATATACTATTTATTGGCTGTGACAGAGTTTGGTGCAATGCAGCATAGTAAGGGCATGTTCTGCACCTGGTCCTGACGCGACACTGTAAAACTGCATGTAGACCAGGAGGCAGTTATTCCGCTTCTAAAGCCAGGGAAGGAAAAACGAAGCGCTACAAACTTATCGAGCTATCTCACTTCAAACATGTTCAAACTTTGGAAGCCACGGTTACGAGATCTTATGCATCCCCTTGAAACCTGAAACCACGTCAAACCAGATCAAAGCGACCAATACACCAAGACTGGAAATATAGAAGCTCACTTACGCGGACAATACCTATCCTAAGTATTTCTGGTCTTCGACTTGGTACGACATGACGGATTCGTCACAAAGCTTATACAAAATTGAGCAGACGGGAACATGGCAAACTTCATAAGCCAGAAGTTATTATAAGCCCTACTATTGATCATATCAGCTCTCCTATCCAGAACTTCTACATTCGCTCGGGTAGATGTATATTTTACATTCCATGTAAATTTAAGCAGAATGTACTGTAGACGCCCCCTTAACCATCGCCATAATCCTTGCTGGCCACGTGCATTGTATTTATATCAGTTCCGAATAACTCCGCCCGTCCTTGTACCTCTGATTAAATAACGTCAACGTTGAAATTACCCACCTTCTCATTGTCGCCCTTTCACGATCGTTGTTGGTGATAGCATCTACCCTCGTACTTCAGCCCCCTGTTTTAATGTCTCCCCCATTCGCTCATTATTATCACACCACCATTATTGCAAACTAATGTGTAACACGATTTGGAAATTTTAAGTTATCTGGGATGCTCTTTCCTTTAAGTGATTGTATGATGTGGGCACTGGCTGCCATGCCATGTCCATATCAGGAAACCAATTACTTCCAAATATTATGCCTTGGTTAAGAGTTCTCTCAGATTAAACCAGTTCTGCTGACGGTATATGTATGGTTGTTACAGACCGGTGTGTCGTTCTGGTTGAACAACGGTTACGATGGCACGCTTTCCAAACGGTACGAAAATTACGCTGACAACATGGGTTTCTCCAGAGACGCCTCGGACACTAGACAGATCATCAACAAGACAGGTAGGACATGGAATCTATGGACGAATGGATGATTGCAATTTGTTTCCGGGTAGGAATATCAATATGTATTTAATCCTTATGACAGTGTGGTGAAAGCTGTACCTGAGGTCCCTCTAGCGAGCCAGGATTCCCGGATTGCGAATCAAATCTGAGATTATGACAATCATTATGACATATGTTGTCGTGGATTATAAATGTTAAACAGAAGACTATCTGTATGGTAACTTCTTTGAGAGGCATTTTAGAAGTTGGGAAGTACAATATAGAACAAACTTTATGGATAACAACTTCGTTTTATTCGTGACTGTGACGTTTCGATACAGATTCTTGTACCAATGCTTGACAACGGTACAAGAATCTGTATCGAAACGTCGCAGTCACGAATAAAAAGAAGTTGTTATCCATAAAGTTTGTTCTATATTATCTGTATGGTGCTCAGGACCATTTCCATCCCACTCGTAACTGCCAACGTGGCATGTACAGAAGAAGAAGAAGAAGAAGAAGAAGAAGAAGAAAATATTTTTATTTTTGTGTCACATGTTATACATAAAACATACATAAACTTAAAAACATTCAATAGAATATAACATCCGGCCATATGGCCTATGAGACACAAGGCACTATATTATATCTAAAACAGATAGTAGTAAATAAAATATCACAGCTTTGTAAGCAACAATGGAGTGTGGTATATATATTTAAGTACATGACTACAAACTACGTTTACAAAAATGGTTACCGAGAAGAAAGTGTTATAATTTGTGTTTAACATGTTGTACCATAAGACTCTTAATATAACATCTGGCCTGTGAGACACAAACCACTACATTCTACCTAAAACAGAATAGAATATCACAATTCTATAAGTAACAGTGGAGTGTGGTATATTTAATTACATGACTACAAAGTGCGTTTACGTCTATTAAACATTTTAGTAACTAATGCAGCTAAGGATTTTATTAATTTAACATTACCTAGCATATACATGGCCATAAGTAATGTAGGTTATGTAATGAATTGAACGCGACTGTCCAACACAGCGTCGGCAATAACGCAATATCTTAAGAGACATGATGGCGTGCTTGGTTTATTCATTTACCATCTTCTTGGTTGCAAAGGAGCGGGAGTCACTTCACATTTGTTAGACTTTGTGTTATTTACATGTATGAAAGGCGGCTCAAACACCCTACTTAACCTTAATTATCAACTCAACACAGTATGCTAAGTATCTATTACACACACACACACACACACACACACACACACACTTTCTTTTAACCTGTATTAGGGATTGGTGGAATATTCTGTAAAGAAAATATGTAACACGGTAATACCCATTTTCTTCTTCTCTTCGTCTTCTGTGTCCACAGTTACAGGTATTTCATTCACACAAATCTGATGGGCTTGGTAGGTCCTTTGTTGTTGGCGCGTACGATGTTCCTTGTGATTTCTCAGAGATGAAGGTCGCGTGTTGACTGTCAGCAAGCAACTACTAGTACAAATCAATGAAGTCTATATGGTATTTTCGAACTCATGCCCTTGATTGTGCCTTAGGTCCTAATCTACTGTTCTCTACCTGATACAAACTGACTGAGCGGGTCGTTGATTGCTACTGCGTACAGGAGAATAATTGATTGGCGTCCCTTGTAAGACCGTAGACTATTTATATGTCTATTGACTCATACGTTGGATACAATTAGATGCGTGGATATCCCATTAGCGTTTATTGGACAGGTGCGCATTGAAAAGGGATGTCGAATATAGTAATCTTGTGGCAGCAGATTGAGCCTAATAAAAAATCTTTAATGTGGGAGTGTAGTAACATGAATCGGATGGTCCAAGTATCCGCCTTGGGTGTAGTCATGGCGACGTCATGGGTCACAGCCATGATTATAGCTGGTATATTGCTGACTGAAACCTAAGCCAATATTCACTCACTCATTCATTCACTCAAAGTGAGTGAGTATGTTTTTACGCCGCGGGTAACAACATTTGAATAAATCATGTCTCGTACACAAATTAGAAATCAAGTTTAGCGTTGTGCGTGATGAGCGAATGCTTGAACCACCGGACTCAACAGTGAGCATTGTATACTCGAGTTCTTGACTGTTCTTTTCGGCGAGTGTTTAAATGGCTAATGGTTCAATTCTTACTTTAACATTATGTTTTCTAAAAAAAACCACCCCCAACCCCCCAACCCCATTTAGATCCGCAATTTTTAACCACTCACCGAAAATAGTACAATACGAAGGAAATGATCATATGCTTGTAACCCAACAACATCCTGGCCATTATCAAAACGACATATACACGCAACAAAAGGATTTGTAATCTTAGATATAATAATGCATTTACCTATTCCGTATAAATAAGTGACGGAAATCGATTTTACTCTGACGTCAGGTGCGCACCACGAAAAGGGTAAACTTCAGGTATATTGGAGTCGTACTACATAGTATCCTTCATTGAGCACGTGTAACTGGGCTTTAGTTCGGATCAAATGTAATGAATCACAGAAAATGTTATACCATTTTCTTTGAGGACGTCGATCAATTGTACATTGAATACATGTAATATATTTATCGAGTAATTGATGGGTTTCTTGACTGGGTGAAACCAATAGATAATAGCAGTATCATCTGGGGTCACATACGGACAAAAATGTAAATTTGAAACTTTAAAGGTTAAGCTGGTACTACTTTCAGATTTTTCATTATAATAATAATAACGGCATTTTATAAAGCGCCTGTTTCCACACACTTGTGCATGCTCAAAGTGCTAACACATTAATACCCCGGATAATCCAAGCTGCCAGGTAGGTTATAGTCACATGACTTATCCCACCAGATACCCATTTTCTACTGGATGAACAGAGGCAATTTAGAACAAATTCTCTTTCCTAAGGTGACACTACATGTATCACATGTGCTTCATTGTGGGGCCGGACTGAAGTCCTAGAAACAAGCTGCCAAACACTGTCACCCATAAAGGACTATCCGCGGCCAACGTTGCTTAACTTGAACTGATTTGTGACCTTGGCTCAATCCACATGACAACATCATTACAAGAATATCACAAAACAAACGTAACACGTTTCTTTCATGATGGAAATGTTTCTGTTTCGTTCTCGTCATATCGGATCACAATGAAAATGCTTGAAATGTTCCTTTGTGAGGAATTATCACGATATGGTACGTGGTAAAACTCACGTTTTCTATGAATGTGTTTACAGAAATAAACGTAGCGACTTTAGTATGATCTAATTACACTTTTTGGGGAAAATGATGTGAAACGAGATGCGGTTTGCAGATGTGTTCAAGATTACTGCCTGTATGAAGCAACATGCATGAAAGAACTGATGAGCACATCGAACGGTATTTCAGTTGTTTCACGGGTTGCAAGTCGTTAAAGGAAAAGCCAAAAGGGTTTTTAGGACTTGTAGTTTACCAGTGTGGTTTGAGACAATAAAATCAGTTCGAATCCAATATTCCTGTCAATGGGTAGAAGATCCTGGCATGGGCAGGGAACATATTTGTTGGGTGAATTGTACCTCTTGACAGTCCGTATCCCATTTCTATATAAATATCGAAACCATAGAATACGTACCCTCTGTAACACTTTTCAATATACTTAGGGGATAACTGTACTGTGTTTGACGAATTGGGGACGTATACCGGTGGTTATATAGCCGCAAATTTAGTTATATCGGCGATATTACGTTAAATTTGCGGCTATATAACCACCGGTATACGTCCCTAATTCGTCAAACACAGTACAGTTATCCGCATTCTAATTCAACTCGTTTTACGCTGTTTTTTCGTGAAAGAAATTCCTTATTTAAACCAGGTCAAAGTTCCTCTAGGTCAAAGGTTAATCATATCACTCCTTCAACTTGCACCATCGCCAGAGAAAGTAGTTCCCTTTTCAAACTACACACGTTTATTATGTGCACACAGACTAAATTTGACAATGATGAATAGATCATAGTATAATAGATAAAATGGATGAAACCGCCCTCTAGTTACAGAAATGAGCGGCCCGCTGATTCCTCAACTACGGGCCATTATCAGTTCTGTTGTCAAATGACGTCATAGCAGGTGACGTCACGCTCCATAATGACGTCATAAACCTTGTTTCATGATCTAAGAGTGTTGGGTCAACAGCCCGTTGCGAGTAAGTTGTTTGAACTTAAAATTAAATTTATTATACTGTTTTGTCTTTTTTAGCACAAATTCCACCCATTTTAGCTGGATAGGGGAGTTAATTGACCAATGGCTTCTACAAATGACAATGTCCTGCGAAACAGCGTTACCCCAATAGTGTAGGGATACATTCAAAGGTTTCGGTGAATCGGTTTTCAAATTGCGACCGTATATGCTGATTATACGGTCGGAAATTTATAGCATTGACCAATCAGAACTCGTGTTACATACGAAGTTGAATTAGAAATTGAAATGAACTGTTTGATAGGCATTCTAGAAGATGTAAGTAATAGGAATGACAAGTCTTTATGGATGATCATCTTCTTTATTGTACAATGGCGACGTTTCGAAAAAGATACTTATACCGTTTTCAAGCATGAGATGTTTTTCCTCTATCTATACCGAAACATCGTCATTGTACAATGGACACGAGAAGTTGGTCCTCCATGAAGACTTGTCATTCCTACATTGAAATGATATAACATTACACGGTACACATGAGGTTTGCACAGCCGGATACTACACGTCGGCTAGTGTTCTAGCTCATTACTGTAAATGGGCAGCTATTTACTTAAGAATTGTTTGTTGCTGCATCTATGTCACTCTTAATCATCTAGAGAATTTAGCCACATTCTCTTATGATTATAACTCCGGTATATATTTTTGTTTCTTCTATTCGAAATATGCGGTGCTTATACAGCATCAGCTCAAATTACGTCCAAAGGCGATGGCCGCCTGCGTGGTGTAGTGGTTAGAGCGTCCGCCCGGAGAGCGGAAGGTCGCGGGTTCGATCCCCGACCGCGTCATACCAAAAGACGTTAAAATATGGTACTTGTTGGGCCCTGCCTGGCGTTCGGCATTAATGGGTACAACAAGGACTGGTCGGCTCGGAGTCTGTATACTGTGTCTGAGTGGGGTATTCATGCTTCACTGTGGCATGGTATCTCAGTGAGCTAGCACTATAAAACCAGCCTAAGTCTGGGCTAGTACAAGCAGCCGCACATACACGTAACACACGCATGCACGTCGTCATATGAGCGAAATATTCTCAAGCACGACGTTAAACCCAATTTCACCTCACCTCACCAAAGGCGAGAGAAATGTTGTGCAATATACGAGACGTGAGGCTGTAGTGTCACTGTCTGACCGAAGCTATGATCCTGAAAGGGTCCGTGGTATCTACGATAATAGAATACAAATATGATGACTTATGTTGGTTCCATTGCTTTGTAGGTCTTCTGTACGGGACAAGACTGAGGTTTGCCGCTATTGTTGTGTACACGACCCTACAGAACGGGAAAGTTGGCTACGTGGAAGGAATCCCTGTTATCGATGCATGGGAAAGTTTTACCAATTCAGAGGTAATCAGTTTAGCAATCAAGTTCATAAATGAGTAAAGAAGTAGCATGGGTGCAGCAGATAATTGGTGAAAGTAGCCAATGACATCCTGATCTCAGCAAAACATGTGACAGGGTCTGTAACCGCGTCGTCTGGAATGTCAGGGATATAACGTGTCATCGTGACACCATTCATTAAGTCAGGGAGACTATATAACGTTGTAGATTATCCCTGATTAAGGAGATCTCACGGATCATGTTATTCAATAATTGTGTACCGTTTGACGCGCACAATGTTGTATGTAAGCACATTGACAGATATAATGGTTTCTTGAAGACAACTGTTTATTAATGTATTGGTCTAAAATACGTAATAAACTGTATGTCTGTCTGTTTATTGATATGAGAGAAACATTTTACAAAGTTAAACACGCGAAACATCGATTTTGATTTAACTCTACGTGGCGTAGTAAATAAAACTATATATATTGACTCACACCTAAGTTGTATTCAAGCCCAATCATAATGATATTCATGTTTGGAAAATAGCTGTCTGAGAATAAATGACACGTGTTTTATCATTTTCAAGTGCTCCTCTGTCGTAATGGATTTTCAAAAAGTCATTTATATTATCTTCCACACTAATTGATTTTTACGCCCAGGAATTTCTTTCGGCCGATACTCAAGTATGGCAACGCTCTGGTGTCGACACTAAATATCATCATTGACAGGTGCAGGTCTTCCTGTCTGATGGGAAAATAGTACATGCCGTTTTTACGAAGATACATCTTATGGCCCACATAGTTATGAACAGGTCACGAGGCACTGTCATGTGTTTATTCATTTGGAAATATCAAAACATCGAGCAGCTGAACGTCTTATTTTATTTAATATACGAAATTTACATGTTTGTTCAACTTATTTGGACATCAGCTAATGATGACATGACCCGTTTGGTTTTTGTAGGTATCGAAGCTCCCCCCATCCCTGAGTGGAGGGTTTCAGTGCACACCCGAGGGGAACAACGCTTGGCACTGGCTTCGTGTGCAAAAGGTATCATTTGGTTATGATAAATATTATTGAAGCAGGAAATATGATAATTAATAATGGATGATATTTCTAATTCATACCAAAAGATATTATTGAAGACTGGAAAGTTTCTTCTATCGATAGAATGACTGTTGGGTATTGCAACACTCAGCCTCCAAATGGGGAGTGTTCTTCAGCTTGTATGGAGTAGTATATAACTTTGTCCGTTGTGACGCAGACCCTTGCTGACTCCGCTGTTAAGGGCATCATCATCGGCATCTGTCTGGCCTTCCCCATCCTCACCTTCGCCACCGGGAACGTCGTCCTCGGCTTCCTCGCGACCGCCACCATCACCTGTGTGACCGTCACCATCGTCGGCATCATTCCAATGGCGGGTTGGAAACTGGGGGTAAGACAAAAACACAAGTAATCAGGGCTATTACATGCCTCCAGCTTATCAACAACTCAATACAGGTGACACAAGTAATCAAGGCTATTACATGCCTCCAGCTTACCCTCAACTCAATACAGGTGACACAAGTAATCAAGGCTATTACATGCCTCCAGCTTACCATCAACTCAATACAGGTGACACAAGTAATCAAGGCTATTACATGCCTTCAGCTTACCATCAACTCAATACAGGTGACACAAGTAATCAAGGCTATTACATGCCTTCAGCTTACCATCAACTCAATACAGGTGACACAAGTAATCAAGACTATTTCATGCCTCCAGCTTACCATCAACTCAATACAGTTGACACAAGTAATCAAGGCTATTACATGCCTCCAGCTTACCATCAACTCAATACAGTTGACACAAGTAATCAAGGCTATTATGTCTCCAGCTCATCAACGATGCCAATCAGTCAGAATCCTTTTGTTTAATGTTGTTGTTTATAGTACAGACTTCACCCGTTAGGACTGTTTTACATTAGATCTCATACATAGTGTTTTTCACAGGCCCCTTTACTCTATTATAACTACAACCTGATCCAATCAACAATAAACACACATCCTCTAACTTGGATACATGCCTCTCAATCATACTCGGTACATCAACTGCTTGATAGCGATGGTAGAACCCACACCGAAACGTCGCTTCTTAAAGAAGCTGTTGATGGCACAAAGAATATTTCTTTGCATTGTTTGATGGTTGATTCAATCAATGGTTGATTGCTTACAGGTGTTGGAGTCCCTGAATCTGTCGCTAGTCGTGGGACTTGCTGTGGACTACGTCGTCCACCTGGCGGAAGGATATCATCTGTCACGCCACGAACACAGACAAGGGCGACTGCGCGACATGCTAGAAACCGTAGGAATATCAGTACTGTCGGGAGCATGCACTACTTTGGGAGCCTCCCTTTTCATGTTATTTGCCGTTATTTTGTTCTTCATGCAATTTGGTATTTTCATGTTCTGCACCATTGGCTTCTCTTTGTTCTATTCGCTTATTCTGTTCGCCCCACTGTTGGCCATTTGTGGACCCCAGGGTAACTTTGGCTCACTTTCTCCCCTGTATGCGTGGATCAAGGACCGATTTAGGGGCAAAAAGAAAACTGACATCGACTGTAATAAATGCTCAGGTCAGGGTTTTCATCCATTGGAAGGAACAGAGAAATTCTGATCAGATCATGTGTTCAGTGGAAATGAATCACTTCGGGTTCATTAAGAGTTATTGATGTTGGACAAATGACAACATTATTAAATAACCTGATTGGGGCAAGATATAACGTTGATATTCCATGAACGGAAATAAGCTCATCCATTTTGTAAAATGTCGGCGTGTCGAAATGTCAATCCTCTCGCTGGTTACCGGAGTGATCCTTTGTTTAAAGACCTGGGTCAACTAGCAGTCCTGGCAGAAATTGATTCAAGCCGTTGAAACAGTAAACGATTACGCAACTTACACAAACACGATTTCACCATTTCATGCACAGGCATGGGCATCAGATAACATTTTATCAGTGGATGACACAAATGAACCCGGTGAGAAAAAGGACGAATGTTACATTTTCCTGATAAATATTAATTATCTTTAGTATATTATCAAGGTGGTATCCAGTCGCCCTAAGCACTATTCACACGCATACGGAAAAACTCATTTCAACCTTTCCTCGTGTTATCTTTCTATGACGACACTGGGTGTTTGTGAAACGTGTGTATGTCCTGTCCCAAGCGTGGAACCCATCTTGGCTGAAACTGTGTCACTCAATGCATTTGCAGATATTTCTTATATGAGGCACCTACAATGTTTTCTTACTGTACAGTATTGACTGATGGCGTTTCTAATTTTACTACGTTCTACCCCCTGTGAGTTTATTTAAGACATGGTAACTGTGTGATGCGTTGCTGTGTGGTTTTATGCGCTGGGGGGTCAGTTTTATGCTGGCGGTAATGTAGCTTTTGTGTATTTGACTTACATGACTTATGACTGTGTCGGTTATTGAAATAGGATTGAAGAAATAATTCCTCGTTTAAATGTTATAATTCAAACCGCCATTATAAGTACTGAGATTAGAAGTGTATAGTAGAGGAAACAATAAACAATGTTTCTTAGGTAATGGCAGATTGTAGGGTTACATCCGTCCCCCATACGACAGTAATCAGCAAGACATTTGAATATTTTGTTAAAGTACGCGAGTTTTGTGAACTTTTGAGTCGATGTATCTTTTAACCAAGTGGTTAAAATGGCATCACGTTCGTTGTCTAGGATATATATATCTGCACGAAATATCAATTTAATACCAATTGTTAATAAAAGCCCTGTCACAAATAAGATATATCAGTATCCTGTACTTACTCCAAAGTACTAACGCTATCGGATATCCCCCAGAGTCAACAGTTTGAAGTCGGGGCAGCTATTGTATAGTGACGAACAAACAGATGTTCCATGTTTCAAAACATTATATAACTTATACTTGATTGTTAAAACAACTCATTCAAAACACATAAGAGCAACTGAAAACCTGGGAATTCAATCAGATTTCATAATTTATATTTTTGATTGTTTATTTTATTATATTTCTACATAGACGTATCGGTTTGCCAAGTGTGTGTTGTATAATATTGTGTAATGACATTTCGTTTGTTGGATTGTTTTTAACGCCACATATCACTTGTAGTTCAGGTATATGACGATGTCATGTAGATAATCCAAAATGGAACAGAAAATCCAGTGACTGGTATTGTAAGATGATTCCAGGTGATAGTTGATTGTGTTCTGACACCATCTCAATGTGCCGGTGTCAAGAGGCGAAATGATTAAATTATCCAAATCTATAATGGAGAAACAGATACACAAATGTTATTTCTAGTCCCTCAGATATTATTTTACTTCCGTCCCTGAAACATTTTACTATTTTTAAATTCCGATATAGTACCAGAACAATATTATGGATTTGATATATGCTAATGATCTACGACCACTGGTCGCAGCTGCCACGTGTTTATATGGGTAATATATGTACCAAAGATTGATTATGTACTTTTATGCCTCAGTGTTGGTGTGTTTTTAGGCCAGTTTATTGAAGTCAGTCAATATGGAGTCAGTTTAGTGGAATGTTTTAACGTATATAGCGTTAATCACATGATGATCCGTCCACCGCCCAGAAAGCTTTATGACAGCGGGTTTAGTTATGTGATACATGTCGCTGCAGTTATTCGTTATACTTTCCAGGGTAGAAACACTTCGTCGAATAACTTCCCGTTATCTGCTGATTCCATTTCACAGACTCCCAATACAGTGATTACTCACTACAAATAGTATAAAAGGTGTTATGCTTGTCGTAAGAGGCGACTAACGGGATCGGGTGATCAGGCTCGCTGACTTGGTTGACACATGTCATCGGTTCCCAATTGCGCAGATCGATGCTCACTGTTGATCACTGGATTGTCTGGTCCAGACTCGATTATTTACAGACCGCCGCCATATAGCTGGAATATTGCTGAGTGCGGCGTAAAACTAAACTCACTTACCAAAGGTGCCATGACATCACATTTAGTTACCTCGTATGAACAATACGTTGTGTTTCTCTGAAGAGTTGACTTTACTTTCTTTGTGTCCTTATCAGAGTGAGTGATTTGTAGAATAATCTAATCAGAACCAAGAAGTATCGTCACTCGTGAATAAATGTTCACCAACTCTCCCTACAGATCGTCTGTACTTGCCAATCTCTACTATAGTCCGTTTGACTTCATTTTAGACCGATGAATTGCTCACAAACACAAAATCTAATAATTGCAAGAAAACCAAATTTTGCACAGTCACATGAAATCGACAGACCAACTCTGATGATTTGTCTAATAATTTTGGACAGCCGACAAAAAAAATTGTGTAACAAACGATCATTATTTAGAGGTATGTGAAATGCAAGTCAGAAGAACGTCGCGCTCAAGGCTATTTCAGTATTTTATTATGTAGCGGCGTGGGTCACGCAGTATTCCAGTAATATCATGGCAGTTAGTAAAGTTTGTGGAGATATGATGGGCAACAACCGTTGAGGTACAGTGACACCTTATCCAATGAGTCGACTGTATGAACAACATTGTAGCAATATGCAGCGTGCAATATGTGTTTTATCAGTGCTTCTTTACAGTTTTATATGCTAATATCACTCTCCGATTTTCTGTGATTACGTGATTATATCACAATTCCATGGCATTGTTAATGATCAAGCACCATCTGTGATATCGCTGTTTACATTTTGTTCAATGAAATATATTGAGAGAAAATTGATTATATTCAATCACGATCTAATTGTACTAACAAATGTGTTTTAGCTGTACAGGTTGTTAATACAGCACCATGTCAGTGATAGTCAGTGATACACCAACGGTAACACAGATATATCTCGTGTTTTGTTGGTCTGAACACAAAAAAATAATTTATTTAATATACATTAAGGTATTTTTTGTAATTACAAATTAATTTTGGTCTTGTTTTGTACACCGACGGAGGTTTCGTGATTCACTGATGTGGTGAGCTGTAGACGTCAATTTTGATGATCAAACGTTTTATCCCCGTTTTACCGTTATATTTGGTGGATTTAATAAAGTATACAAATGCAATGCCGTGGCTTTCTGCTACATTCAGCACATGGACTGTGGCGGCCGTCAGTGTGTAGGTGAGTCCCACCACGTCGGGTAAGCCGGATATCAGGTGACCGAACTGTGTAAACCGGATGCCAGAGGAGCATCAGGTGACCGAACTGTGTAAACCGGATGCCAGAGGACCGCGCCGAGATCAAGCTATTGTTACTCCAGTCAATGCATCACTGTGCACGTATTTTCATTCTCGTCTCCCTAAGGAGTATACAACCAATGCCTAGATGACACAAGTCGTAGACGTTTACCATTTTTGTGAAACTCAAGAGTACGTTTGGTTCTTGAAGGGATCATAATAGGGAAGGTTCGAACCCACGGCAGCTGATGATTCTCCTGGAGGCTCATCACACGACCTGTAAACTACTAATTTCGTATTACTTAGGAGGTAAACATGCTGTGTTTTTGAAGTGGATAAAAAACATTTAGAATACGTAAAAGCAAATACAAACGTACACGTACACGTACATGCACATGCACACACACACACACTAACATGCACATACATCACATGGAACGGGCATCCGTGATCGTACGTTAAATGTACACGATGGTAAATGATTGACATAAGGGAAATAACTCTTGTATGTAACTAAACAAGGTGGCAGTGCAAGAAGGCTTTCTTAAGACCGGCCCCACAGACAGTTCGCAAAAGAATGACGTTTTATGATTTCTGTTTTTTCATTCTCATTGAACATTGAATTGAACTGATTCCGGTAGCAATAACTTATCATTATTTGACTTTTGAGTAGCAAGTATTATAGTTTCATTTGTCTCAAGCATATTTTTCAAAGTTTACCTGAAAATACCTGCCATAGATGGAAATGCAGTTTTGACCAGTAGTGCGATGAACATACACAACATCCACACGTGTGTACAACAGCGGTGAAGGACAGTGGGTGTCCTTCTACTGGTATGGACCTTGATTGTCTGTTTCCTGGTGCATAGAACACCTCACCAAGTTGATTTTTTTCTCATGTACCTCGAGTTCGAGATAACAGTGTTCACCTGCATGTAATCCACACTAAAGTCAACTCTCAGATAATCATTACAACACGCTGGTCATTAAAGTCTGATTTTATTTGTATCCTGTATAGAGGTTTTGTGCGCATCAAAGCATACAAGTCAACAAGATTAAGAAAATAAATCTGTTTCGACCAAACAACACCAGATATCCATTATATATACAAAACATAAAATCCAGCAGCTTTGGAGCTTAGTCTGAACAATGTTCATACATAAATTGTGAATCTTAACCGCATTCATATTTGTAGATACTGTCCCACTAAAATAAAAACAGACACAATTGTGACAGGCGGCAATATCAAACACATGCAAAAAATGTCAATCACACATCGCGTGAATACTGCCACATCAGAAATACACAGAAACCTTCTCATCCGGGCTGTTTCGGTTGCAGTCAAAGAGCCCGGATTACCATTGGTCCAGGATCCGGTGACCTGTTATGTTTGTGTAATTAATGGCCTGAAGGCGGGATTTCCCGTCTAAAGACGTCCGCATTATGCAGGTTTCACTATATATGACTCTTCACGGCACCCAACAACACACGGGACATGTATTCATGTGTTTCCATTTACATAGCCTTCAACATAGTTCAAACTAGAAGTAAAAACTGTCAATAAACACGACGTGAAAATTAATATAGGAATCTTTATAGTAAACGGATTTAGTGTGATTAGAGAAAAATATACCACCAAATGCATATGCTTAAAATATGAAATCATAACCCTCGCAGTTTTTTATTTTGCTTCCAAATCAACGGTTCACAAACAAAATGATCAAAACTGTGTCCAATTACGTTCGCCTGACAACGAGTGGCGTCTCATCATAGCCCTGGTTTCCCAATGACTTGCGGAGACACAAAAGACGGTATCATCCACAAACATCCTGAAGTTCACGCAGTTCTATCCACGCGACTTTATTACATTAGAGACACGACTTCAGCTTTACCTTTAGGTCGAGCATTATTCCAACTCTCCATACTTGGAGGTCTTCATTACAAAACTTTTGAGAGACAATCAAGAGATCAAGTTTCTGAGAAGAGACATAGAAGAGCGTCCAACGACTCTTGCGCAAATTATGAGGGTTACAACATTCAAGGCTTTCGTAAAACGTTTATTGAATAAAAGGTGGAGAAAATTTCGAAACGCATGTTGCATCCCCGATACAATTTCTATATTGGCTTCTATCATACTTTAACTGTGCGTGTGTCTGGAACGGGTACAAACGATGAGACGTGGAAGAACCCGATAGCATCACTGTTGATCACACCTGCTTATGATACACTCAATGATATGTTCCTATGATTATGGCATGGATTTGTTGCCTTTACCTTCTCTCATATGTTGCTTTCTACTTTCTACCCGTCCTTCATATGATTCCGATATATTGGATTTAATTAAACATTTCCATCGCAGATCTCAATATGCATCACTAACACTAACATCATGGGTAGTGAGTAGTCATGTTTAAATTAACGATTGTCTGTTGTTTACTCTTACAATACACAGCATGCAACTAGAACAATGACCTGTAAATGATATCATACAGCCATTGGAATATATGAAATAATTAGACAATATTTGCCTAGAAGACACTCTTTATGTTTTGAACTGTTGCTTCACCGGTACACATTCTTAAAGCCACCAGGTGACCGACATATGTGCTTGCAGATTTGTACAGATCACATCTAATCAAGGATTTTATCACAAGACGAAACGGCGCATTGAATACTCGTCATCAACAGATAGACAGTCATAATCTGAGTAACTGTCAGTGTTCTTGCAGTTGATTACTTTAAAATCAGGTACATGAAATAAAGAGATGTGGAGAAAGTGAGAAAGATGCCACGAATGACTAAAAGTCCATAAGGACATGAAGTGAAAAACGACATTACAAGACAAAGTTAGATTTTAACAGTTAACAACTTTAACAGTTAACAGCTGCCCATGAAGAAAGTCAGGGAAAGCAATAAGACGGGTGTTTCTGTTGTTATTCACTGAAAGGTCCGTCAAGTTGATAACGTTTTGAAACAGGGGAAGGGTTTAGATAATAAACAGTGATTCATCTATCGGGAGCGATGTTTTATTACTCAGACGTGAGCGAAGTCATAGTCTGATGTTAGTGTAGGGTCACGAGATTAAACACTAGCTGGCATAAATGTTTCCCCAAATCATATAACACGACAACCTACAGAAGCAAACGGTTTCTTATGTTTGGAAGCCGACTCTGGCGTTGAAAGAGACAATGCCTAGTATCGCTGTAAACCTACGTCTTCCAGACGCGCATTCTGAAGCACAAGCATGTACACTTGTGGCAATCGCACAGAATAAATGCAAACATCCATTCGTATCTATAAACTCGGTATAAAAGCAATCCCAAATTGAATAATTACAACTTTGTGGGAGGACTTCCTCCTCCAATCACCATCGAATTCAGTCATACTGAAACAGCTGGAATATTCATTGTTTTCATGAAACATACAAAATGTGCACTGTGTCATATTATACCGGCATCAGTAGTTATACCTTAGTATACACCATACCTGGTTAAATAGACGGCCTTGTAAGGACATCCTTGTGGTTGCCCTGTTTGAACACAGCTTGTAATCGTGGTTTTTTATCACGCCTGAGGTGTAAATGTTAGAGATCTATCCCTTGGATATTGGTATCACATGTGTTCTGAGATGCAGATCGATATCCCTGTGTGATTAAAGTAGGACATCAATGACATCTGGTTCTGTGGAAGGCATTCCTATATGGCTATAATTAATTAATTGAACTTGGTCAGTAAAACCTACAAACCTTTTGGACAGGTATAAGTGGCATCAACTGCCAACTTTTAGAAATCTTCCGTTGCTTTATGTTGTCACCTGTAAATATGTCAGCATTTAGCTACCCTGGATACCCTGGACCGATAACAATGACACGAATTTGATATTGTCTCGCGCCTGAGTATTAAACAATGATTTAAATGCTTTCTTACTTGAATTGTCTGTATATGGCAATATATCCCTTTGGTAACCTTAGTGTGTGAGATCAGTAAACAGTATATATACGCAGTAGATTACAGTTTGCAGTTTGTAATTAGGAATCTGGAGTACCTTGTGGTGGTAGGGATTGGAGACAGGCATCCAACACGTGTGTGGCTTTGTAAACATGTTTTGATGTTCAAAACATACTATTTATATTCTGATAAGAATATTCCGGTAACTGCACACGAAGTAAACCACTGTGACTATTCATTTTTGTAAATAGTACGAACAATGTTCGTTTTTAAAAGTCGTTCAAAATACAATACTCTGTTTAAACCGAAAGTTTGAGATGAAAGAGTGCCACACGTCTCCAAGGATACACTATGCAATTCCCCCAGCCATACTGATTTGCATACATACCGGAGGCAAAATGTTAGAGAACGCTTTCAAAAGTGCATATTGATAGGTATTACTTTGTTAAGTAAAAAGTATCACTTCAACACCATTAGTCACTCCGCATGATGTTCAACATTACAATATAAACTCAGCACTCTGTCAATGTAACATTCATACATGTCTTGTCAGTTTTGGTCGTTCCCTATTTCTATTTATGTACATAATAGTACACTATTAAAAGTAAACATCACTTGTGCATATTTTGAGATCACGGGAATGCTGCAGTAAATACAGGTCACAGTCCACATATATGCAGTGGCGGGAAGTGATGACTCCATCTGATGGATTCCGTGGGACTGACAATCTTCGGCTGGTCACAGCACGTGGACAGGTCTTGTTCCACCCCCTTCAGGAACAATCGTACGTTTGGACACTGGCCTAAGTTGAGGGCTAAGAGCTGCGGACAGTCCAGATCAAGACGATGGACTTCTCGACACCCGAACATATTGAGGAACATCATGGGGGGAGCATCCACGGACACCTGCGTTATACTCCTGCATTTTTCCAGGTTGAGGTGAGATATATTGTGGCAGCCGTTCAGCGCCATCTGGAGGACGTAGTTGGTCATCTGGCAACGATAGAGAACAACTGTTTCGGCCACCGGGGTACTGACTGATAGCAAATTGAGCTTACAGTCAAAAAGTCTCAAGAATCCTATCGCGCCCATAGCATGGATGACACAGGAGTCCAGATTGATCTGTTCGTCACTACATAGGTTTAGCTCTATAGAGTCCACACTCACGCACTGAATCGTCATTGTTTTCAAGGCTGGCATTCCCACTAAAGCTATCTTGCATATGTGGTTGGCAGTGATGTAGATGTGATTGAGTGTAATAATGTCGTTCTCTGCTTCCGTGTGGAACAGACGGAGAGTGGGACTCCTAATGTGAATTGCCTCACACGCAAAGTCCGATAACAGACACAGTTCATGCAGATTTGGGATAATTAGTTCGTCCAACAGCAAACTGTCCTGCGAAAGACATCCAATCTTTAGACATAAAATGGACGGGTTGGATTTGAGAGTCTCTCTCAAGGAACGCATATCCAGTTCTTCGCAGTTAGAAAGTTCAAGAAAAGAAAGTTTGTTGCTTTTGATGCTGACTGTTTTCATGGCGTTGCTGCCGTTGATGCGAGCGCGGCGGAGTTTTGGGGTGTACAGCTCCAGATGTTCCATAGTCTCCAAACCGTCGTCAATGTTGATGTAACGGAGGTCCTTGCCGTCTACGCTGATGAAGAGGACGTTCCACAGGTTGAAGAGGTACAACTTCTGAAGGGACTTCGACACAAGCCGGATGCCATGTAGGTGCTAAACAAACGAGAAACGGTCTACATTAGAAAGGGAAAGGTAATTACACATAAATAAACCAGCATTAAGTTCGACTAAAACCATTAATAAAAAATCTTAAATGTTAGCGCAACATATTTAAAACTGTGTTCATTATGTGAAATGACAATGTACTGATAAGTTCCCCTTGAAGAAACACGTTCTTGATAGCTGCTATGTATTATTGTCGTTGAATGCAGGACACCCGAAAGTTTCATTCAAGATCTCCACATGAATATAAGTTTCAAATACAAGCCATGGTCCCCTTTTAATAAATAATACCTACCTATAACCGATACAAAAGTTCCCAGAGCAGATTAGGCATACCCTCACGCCATATATGTGTATCATTTCATTTGACTTCAACAGTTTACCACAGTGAATAACCTATTTGCATTCAAAATGACAAAATATACTTCCCATCAAAGGTTTAGACTCACTAGTGTTAATATAGCCACTTACTTCTGGCAACTGTTCTAAACTAAATTTTGCAAAATATTCTATACTGTTTAAAGGTACTCTGTTTACACATGAACTGATGCATTGTTAAACAAATTCGTAACGTTGAAAAGATTATTGTCATGAGTTCAATAAATGATAAAAATCAGTGAAAATTGGCGAATTCTTAACAAAACTTTACACCAAAACGTAGCTGTTCACATGCACGATACTTGCACATGCTTTTCAGCAATTTGATGCATGATCCTCGTGCAGTTCATCTGCATAAGGTTTGCAGTTGGTTCCCCCAAGTTAGTGAAGAAATGAATCTTCGATGTAACCATACACACACACACACACACACACACACACACACACACATATATATATATATATATATATAGTTAGTGTTTTAAGTGAATCTAAACTTTTAATGGGATGTATAATTCAGCGTTTGCACCATCATTGTCTTATCTGCGATGTTTTGTTCGTGACATTACGGTTGGTGCCTGAATTTAGCATGTTGCTGCTCTTCACGAGGTTTTAAAAGAGTTTAACGTAACATAATTAAGCCCTTTACGTTACATTGGTACTAAATTGCACGTTTCTTTTGAGAATAATATACTCAAAACTTTAATCGACACGCACATGTATGTCATGACAGCCGTTTCTCCTAATCTATCCTGTGAAAATTAATACAGGTCACCCCGAACTTGTGTTACTGTATTGAATAGTTTCAACCAAACGACGCCTACCCCCGATATCATTAATAACAATACACATATAAGAAAAACAAACTCCCACTTTTGACCCTGAAACCAAATTCTTGAATAGCATAATTTGTCAAAACGACAGCTTTCAGTATCACATTCTTTAGGCCATGCAATTGATACGGACGAACGCTGAACGAGACGTCAATATTGTGCCTGCATTTACATTGTATGTAGGCGGAGTGACGCTGCGTTTATAGTTCCGTCATACAGTAAGTGGAGCCACCACCTGTCACCTTCTCTTCACGAATATGGATGCGTTATACCAACAACATGACGTGGTTCGTCCTCAGCATCTGCTGACGTAGCACCGTTCAGCGTTGTGGGTGTGACGGTCTTCTGTGCAATTGTGCTGAGGCATTAGTCAATTTCATACATTCGAAAATATTTATCAGTAAAGATTTTAAGAAATTAATGAGCTATATTCAGTCAAGCGACATATGGCTTCCTACTTATATCGTATTCTGAGTAACAGTTGAAACGCCGCTTCGTTAATGAATGTTTTGTATTTTGTTGTTTGTTTATTGTTAACTTGTTATGTCGATATTCACATTTGTGTTCACTCTCTTGTCACAGATTGGTCTTGGGACGATTATAAGGCGCTCTTTGGATTTGAAGACACAGTTAATTTATGCCTTGAACCATTCGTCATTGTTGAGATTCAGTATAGTCTCCAAAAACAAGATGGCTACCAACACTACTGACATTTCTCATGTAATCAGTCTATGCTTAATATACTCAGTAGTGTAGGGCTGGGGTTGGGGTACGATGTAAGGCTGAGGTTGGGGTATGTTGTAGGGCTGGGGGTTGGGATATCATGTAGGGCTGGTGTTGGGATGTGTTGTTGGGCTGGGGTTGGGATGTGTTGTAGGGCTGGTGTTGGGGTATGTTGTAGGGTTGGGATATGTTGTAGGGCTGGGGTTGGGATATGTTGTAGGGCTGGGGTGGGGGTATGTTGTAAGGTTGGGATATGTTGTAGGGCTGGGGTTACGGTATATTGTAGGGTTGGGATATGTTGTAGGGCTGGGGTTGGGACATGTTGTAGGGCTGGGGTTGGGATATATTGTAGGGCTGGTGTTGGGATGTGTTGTTGGGCTGGGGTTGGGATGTGTTGTAGGGCTGGTGTTGGGGTATGTTGTAGGGTTGTTATATGTTGCAGGGCTGGGGTTGGGATATGTTGTAGGGCTGGGGTGGGGGTATGTTGTAAGGGGATATGTTGTAGGGCTGGGGTTTGGGTATATTGTAGGGTTGGGATATGTTGTAGGGCTGGGGTTGGGATATGTTGTAGGGCTGGGGTTGGGATATATTGTAGGGCTGGGGTTGGGGTATGTTGTAGGGTTGTAGGGCTGGGGTTGGGATATGTTGTAGGGCTGGGGTTGGGGATATGGGGTTGGGATATGTTGTAGGGCTGGGGTTGGGATATGTTGTAGGGCTGGGGTTGGGATATGTTGTAGGGTTGGGTAGGGTTGGGATATGTTGTAGGGTTGGGTAATATTGTAGGGTTGGGATATGTTGTAGGCTAGGGCTGGGGTATATTGTAGGGCTGGGGTATGTTGTAGGGTTGGGATATGTTGTAGGGTTGGGGTATATTGTAGGGTTGGGATATGTTGTAGGGCTGGGGTATATTGTAGGGTTGGGGTATGTTGTCAGGGCTGGGGTATGTTGTAGGGTTGGGGTATGTTGTAGGGTTGGGGTATATTGTAGGGTTGGGATATGTTGTAGGGCTGGGGTATATTGTAGGGTTGGGGTATGTTGTCGGGCTGGGGTATGTTGTAGGGTTGGGGTATATTGTACGGTTGGGGTATGTTGTAGGGTTGGGGTATATTGTTCGGTTGGGATATGTTGTAGGGCTGGGGATGGGATATGTTGTAGGGCTGGGCTTGGGGTATGTTGTAGGGCTGGGATATGATGTAGAGCTGGGGTTGGGGTATGTTGTAGGGTTGGGGTATGTTGTAGAGCTGGGGTTGGGGTGTGTTGTAGGGCGGGGGTTGGGATATGTTGTAGGTTTCTGTAACTTCTATCACTGTACATAACTGTCTTGTTAACAGGAGTGTTAGCCCTTAACTGGCTTAAAGGAGAATAGGAGTGAATTGCAATAATTTGCTGGGTGAAAGATAAAGTCATCAGAAAGATATTCCCAAATTTTCAATTAAAAATTATGTATAATTAAGTTTTAATCGCGAAAATAGTTTCTGTAAATCTCAGCTTCGGGCATTATGAATATTTCGCTGGAACCCACGTGACCTTTCCGCTCGTGACGTCAAATGTGCCTGGAGTCCGCCATATTGCCAAAGACCAAGCGCTACAGTAATACAAATCGCGTTGTTTCTGTCGTTTTTTTAAATGGTACGATGGTGTATTGCGTTGCCTGGGGATGCACGGAATCATCGAACATGGGAAAGAACCACCATTTCTTCCGTTTTCCAAGTGAAATGACAGATTTCGGCAGGAGAAATGCGCCGATCATTCCGATTCGGACGCATATGAAAGAGACATGCACGCACGGGGTATTGAAATCCCCAAGCTAGGCTGAAGAAGGAAAAAGTACCCACGAGATTCATTTATACTCCATCATTCCCTTAAACAACTTACTCTTAGTGGCATTTTACTCAAAATCAGAGATTTCACATGAGCTTGAAAACGTTTCGCTATAACGTTCTTTTCGGTTTGGAGCCCTAAATGATGCAGTCTACTCGAAACATTGCCGAATACAACGGCAAATCATGAAGTACTTGTTACTTTCATTGTTTTCCATTTTGTCCAATTACGCACGTCGGCATCAGACTCGCTATTTGTCAGTAGTGTGTGCCATGAAAGTTGTTCTGTATTTTCAGGGGCTGACAAGATGTCATTCTAAGGCTATGACCGAGTACCATAACTATTTCCATAACCAAACAATGGGGAAACATACGTTGTCCTGACTAGTATTTGATAATTCACCAGTTTTGAGGGAATCTGCGTCGCGAATATTATCTCTGCTCGACCAGGCTGGGATCTTGTATCGATACTTGATACGTTATTAATGAGAACTAGGATCCTAATTTTTTTCAACAAAATAATTCCAGTGTAATTTGTGAAGCAGATAATTTATATTTTCCCTCGTCTGAAGCACAATTATTTTGTTTTTAAACCCCAGTCACTCTACAGTCACCCATTTGACACAAAATGAACTGTAATCACATTTTTATAAAAATAATTCTTTGTGACTGGTCATATATTTATAGGGGTGAGTTTGCTGGCTGGAACTGTATGACATTTTGCTGACAAATAGTAATCTTGTTAAATGATATGGTCTTTTTTAAAATTTATTTTGACCTCAAGCGGTGCCTTCGTTTCGCTTGATTCTTTTTCTTCATCTTCAATGGAAGATTGTCTTGCGAGATGTAAAATCGGATCGTATTGATCCGTAACTGGCGGAAATACGAGTACTTTTTTTTTTTTTATTGCTATTTTACAAACTTTTTGTTCAATTTTAATCACGGAATGTGACTTTTAGAATATCCTTTACAATTTATCAAAAGTTTTGTTTTCGTTCGTATTCTCCTTTAAATGCTGCAGGACCTAAGGACCCAGAACCAGACAGTCCTGATCAGAATGTGTAGGCCCTATATTTATAAACTAGAAATTACTGAATGAAAAATAATACTCTTAGATTTTGGGGATGAAAATGCTGTCGGCCATAAGGGCCTGCTAAAAACAAAAGCTGTGGGTCCGAGTGGTTTTCGGTCGGCTTCGGACCTAAGGACCGACGTTAATTTGGAACCTGGTTGACAG